ATACCAGCTGACCAGCTTTTGTCCTACCAGCTACAAGAAAAACATAACTACCAGCTGACCAGCTTATAACTACCAGCTGACCAGCCGAAAAATAAGAGCTAGCAAGTGACTCATGGAAGTTTATCAGCAACTCGCAACCAAAACAACCCGAGCTACAGGCTCGCAACTAGCAACAGCAACTCATGAGTAATAACTAAGTGATACCTAGAAGTTAGAGCTACGTAAATTTGCTCCAATTTCAGCCGGCGATAGCACAGCAAGTGCCTGGGGGAATGTCGCAAAAGCACGCGGAAGTGTGTGCAACCTTATACATGGCACAGTCATCAAAACGTTCAAAGCGTAGGACAATCCCCCACCCCACAGCAACCCCAGCAGAAAGGGCAACCAGGAATCAAGGTTTGTTGGTTGGTTGCTTGCTTGCTTGCTTTGTTGCTTGCTTGCTTGCTTGGTTGCTTGGTTGGTTGGTTGCTTGCTTGGATGCTTGGTTGGTTGCTTGGTTGCTTGGTTGCTTGCTTGCCTGCTTGCTTGGTTGCTTGGTTGCTTGCTTGCTTGCTTGCTTGCCTGCCTGCTTGGTTGCTTATTTGCTTGCTTGCTTGGTTGGTTGCTTGCTTGGTTGCTTGCTTGGTTGCTTTCTTGCTTGGTTGGTTGCTTGGTTGGTTGGTTGGTTGCTTGGTTGCTTGCTTGCTTGCTTGGTTGGTTGGCTTCTTGCCCGTTTGCTGTTCTTTGTCTGTCCATCCGTCTATCCGTCTGCTCGACCCCTCGGCCGACTCGTTTCACTTCCGCCGATCCGAATCGGCTCCGCGCCACGCAGGTGCCGCGCATGCACTCCCGGCTCGCCAGCTCGGCGAACTCCTCCACCTGGCACAACTTTCAGAACTTTCCGTTGCATTTTCGCCCATTCGAAACCCATTCATCGCCTTTCAGGGCTACGTGTTTTGGGGGTGCCTTGACATGGGATACCTCCTTCCCTCTGCTTTTTCGGGGGTTTAGGGTTTCGGGTTTTGGGTGGGCACGAACATCCCATGGGTCTTTTCGGGGTTCAAAAGCACAGCCTCCCTTTGCTTTTTCTCACTTCGCATTTGGGGATGCACGAGAATCAGAAAATCAAAACCCAGCGGTATTGAAAAATGGCCCTTGACCCAGAACTTCCCTTTACTTCTTCGCCCAGCCAAAAAAGGGGGCCTTTCGGGGGGACAACCAAACGCACAGCCTCCATTTGCTTTATTAAGCCTGGAACAAATGAGAAAATACTTGTCCAGTCGTGAAATCGATTCCAACTTTAAAACCAACAGGGGAACATATAACAAGTATTCTTAAGCTAGTGAAATCGATTCCAACTTTAAAGCCAAGGAAAGACATAACACGTGTTTTTGCTTAAAGGATTCAGCGGCGGCAAAAAGAAATCCCGGTGGCCTCAGCTAAGAGCCCAGAGGAAAAAATCACAACCTGTTGCTGTGGTTTGACGGGACACCAAGGAAAAGCCACGGCCCCTTTAAAAAAGAGAGAAGAAAAAACAACATATGGATCTCGATGGTTGTTTTGCAGGTGAAAAGGTGAAAACAAACTAGATGTTTCTTCACCAAACGGTTCACAGCGTGCTCCCTTTCAAGCGTCATCCCAGCAAACGAAAACCGAAAAATGAGGTTGAACCCGGAAAATGATGTTGAACATATATGAACAACACTCAAATGCCTCAGAGCCCTTGGGGGCGCCCTCTTTTAAGCTCAGCCAGGCAAACGAGCGTTGAAAAAGCTGTGTGCTTCCACAAGGACATGGGAAAAGAACTAGCCCTTTTACCCTATTCTCCAGGTGTCAAATGCCTTTTCGAGGGCGCGAGATGCTCGGGGCTCTAAACAAACCGGCTTTCCACGAAATGGTTGGCCCGGTTTGGAGATTGGTGGTTTCACATGTTGCCCTCAACCAGCTGCTTCAAACCCCGAAGCCAAACCAAACCAAGAATAGGTGGCCTGGAAAAATGACCTGAAAAGGGTACCCGCCAAAACCGGGAGAAAAACACATATATATATATATTCAAACAAAAATTGTTTAAACAAAAAATAAAAAAAAAATAAAAAAGACTGCCAGAGCCATCTGTGACGTTGCCTCTGGGTCGTTGGCAAGGCCCTCGCACATGTACTCCTCCCCGAAGAGCATTGGCTCAGGGGGGTCCCTGACGCGCCGTGGCAAAGCTTTGGATGTCCTCACAAGGTTAGACCGCCCAAAGTGGCTCTGGAGGTCCCAAGATTCTTAGCGGATGACCTCAACCAAAAAAGAAGAAACATGAGGCTGATGGAGGTCTGTGCATAAAAACAAACCAAAGGGCTGCCGTGCAGAGCAGACTGGCCAAAAAACTAACCCAACACAAAGCACCCAACGTGACTTTTCTGTAGGTACTAGAAAGAAACACTCGAATTACCGATTACTGCTCGACCCCCCCAAAACAGCTCGATCAAAATCAAATCCCCGTCTTCCATCCAAAGGAAGGCGGGCAATTGTTACGCGTTTTAAATTTGCACTCGTTTGCGCTTGTTTTGCGGATATTTGCGCTCGGTTTGCACTTCGATTTCTGCTCGCTCCTGTCAGCGACGGATCATCTCGCAGAACCGATCAGCCGTGATTCGGGACAAATCGAAGCAGGAAAAAGTGTACGTTTACCATATTTTGGTGATGGCCCCTGGTTTTGCAATACGTTTGGGCTAAGGGCATAACTTTAGGTAACGAAGGGTGTTCCAGGAACCCTTTGTTTTCCACTAAAGGGTCTTTCCCAAAAAGTACAAAGTCAAACTCAGGAAGTGAGTGTTGGCCTCCAACACGAAACCAACATGGCATAGGATGTGTGCGCGAATCAGTTTCTCGTGCTTTCAAACTAAGAATGGCATCATGGTTGCCACACAATCACGTTGTTCCGCGCGCAACTGTGGCAAGGACTGCAAGAACTCCAGCTACCGCTTCACACGGGAATTCGAATTCCCGTCTTGAAGAGTGGCTGTCTGAGGGCGTAGACCTCATTTCGGGGATGCTCATCGCCACCAGCTGACTTTTTGGTGGTTCACTCATCGCCAAATCACCTCTGTTCAGGTCCGCACCTGGCTCTTGGACCAATTTACAAACATATGCCCGGCATGACATAAAATACCGGTCACATTATACCTGCGACCTCCTGAGGGTCCTTTTTTGCCGTTAGGCGAAAAGGCATATTTTTCTGCCGTTTCACGAAAAAAGCGCCGTTTGCCTGAAAAAATGCCCTTTCACAAAATGCCGGCCAACAGTCGAGAAAAGTTGCCGTTTGGACGGGTAAAATTGCCGTTTCGATTTGGCAAGCGACCGCCTGCAATGCTCAACTTGGCACAAGTGTTGTTTCGCAGAAAAGTGCGGCCTCGATGGAAAACATCGCTTTTAACCAAACAGCAGAAAAATGTACCCGCCGGAAAGCCACAGGTATGCGCATGTTCGCTTCTGCTTTATGTCGTAAGCCCTTGAGCTTTGAGACTGAGTCATGAGGCGAGCCTCTTGAAGCCTGCCAGCATTTCCTCGTCCATGGCGGCGCGAGGAAACGGGTTGCGAGTGTCACACCTAGCATCTGCCAATTTCGCAAGCTGAAGCGGGTCGTTCAGTTTGGTTGAGTTCTAAACAAAGGGCAACTTACAATGGGTTGCAGAAGAGACACAATCCAAACGTCCCTCACAAGTGATTCAAAACGTTTACAAAACTGTTAGCTCACCTGTTCACTTGCTGCTGGCGATCTGGGCTGCAGTGTCTTTGTTTATTTGGCTCCATGCTTGAGACCGGCATATTCGCATCACACGAAGCCCTTTTGGCACCGCAAAGGATTCCCCAACATCTAAGATCAAATCAGGTTTCATGCACCTATATGTGGCAAAGGAACTGTCCCCAGTTCTACCCTTCATCTACCCATGTTCAGGAACTGGCTAGGAACCTTTCAGATTTGTCGGGAAAGACATGCCGAGGCAGTCTGCTCTAGGGGTTGCTGAAATGTGCCAAAGAGACCCACTTTGGCCAGTTCGACAAGCGCAGGACTGAGAATATACTTTGGGGGCCAAACTTCCTTTTTCACAAGGGCTAAAATTTGCCGCTTCTCCCATGTTGAATTATCTCCCTGATTCCCCACTGCGAACAAGGCAAAAAGGACCGCTCAGGCCACTCGGATCGAAAACAAAGACCCCTCCGTGCTGACGGGCTCCGGGCCTTTTCTAGGGCGTGCTCTGCAATCCGAGGTCACTTCTAGCCTGCAGAAGGGAAGCAAAGGCTCCGATCTGTCCTAAATGGGTGGATAAACGCTCTCACCTGTCCAAATGGACGAAATTCTGAACAACCACTTTGAAACCATGGCTGAAACCAATACGTTTGTTTGTAGTTAGTTACGTTGGGAAATCATTGTTCCAGGGTTTCTTAGGTGGTGCGAAATGGAGTTCGTCCATCCACAGTAGCTCTACAGTTGCCTATCGCCATTGTACATCTTCAAAACGCAAATATCACATGGGCCTCGGGGCATATTTACTCAAAAATGCGATCACCTTTTGGGGCCATGACGAAGAATGGTGGCCAAAAAACGGAAACCAAAAGGTCAAAAGATCGGCTTTGGCCAACTGAGTATATGTACACATTTATACATATATGCATAGAAACACAGGTGTCCAGTTTAACCAGTGATGGGTACCCTTTCACGAGCATGACCTTCATAGGGGATATGCCCGTCAAACATCTTTGATGGGGCCGAATCGAACAATTCAGAGGACAACCGGTTGTGTGTGTGTGTGTGTGCGTTGATATACAATATGTTGATATGTATAATCTTTCAATATCAACGAACGCATGCCCAACGCTGTGTCTTAAAAAGGGGCAACCCAGAATCACGTTTCCCCGAAAGTGCGCGCGGCACGGTTCTGTCAAGCCCCAGATCATACTTGAGTCACACTCGAAGCCAGGCACTGAAGGGGTACACCTTTCAACGTGAAGAATCCAACAAAAAGGCAGCTGATGGCTAAGATCGTGCCTTGCGAAGTACCCTTCATTTACCCAAGCTGTTGCGGAATGGGCTCACTGGCCCTTCTCGCCCTCCGTCTCCGCATTCTCGCTGAACATCTCGAGGACCTACGCATGCTTTTGAATTAAAAAAAAAGAAGAAAAAGATCACTGCTTCTGACCAGCGGGACTACTTCACGTCAAAAAGGTTCAATAGATTTCAACTTATGGCCACCTGAAACCAAAGCTTGCCTCCTTCACTCTGGTCAACCACTTCAACGGTTCCTTAGCTAGGTCCTCCAGATTTTTTGAGCTTAGAATAAGCCGGTACCAACTTGTTGCTGTCGATTTTAGTAGGGTCCCGAATTCTCCCAACCAAAAAACGGGGAAAAAAGAAGCACCAATTGCTGGGGGACCGAGTTAGACTCCAACTTCTCGCCGAACATTTGGCCACCTGAAACCGAAGCTGAAGCCGCTCTGCCTCGCGGATCAGCTCCACGGTGATGCGGAGCGACATCACCATGGCAGGTCCTGCAGGAAAAAAACATGAAAACCCGGGAGCTTCAAAAGATATGACCTGTCTAAAGCTGGTGCGTTATGCATTGTTTACCTGTTAGTTATATGGCCATGGGTCAAATTCTAAAACGTACCCCAATCCAAGCACTAAAATAGGTCCTAAAATGGGTGGTGCATTCACCTACCATTGGTTTTGACCCATAGCCATATCTCCAAAAGCAAAGGTGCCAAAATGGAATAACTCTGCAGGCTTCCTTTTTAAGGGCCGCCTTCGTTCGACAGGGTTTTAGCCCAATTTCACCCCAATACATGTCATACATGGCTCGTGGGGGGTGGGAGATGGAGGCTTGTCGCTGACGCACTCCTAGATGGGTACGCCTTTGATTTGAGCGCAGAAACCCTCCGACGCGGTTCATAGAAAGAGTGGATCTCAGCAGCCAACTGGGTTGCGCATGGGAAAACAAGAATAGGCACCCTTCTTCCTCGGTGGATTTTGGGCAAAACTCCCAAGGAAAGGACCCAAAACACCGGTTTCTACTGGAGGCGCCCCTTTTTCTCTTGGTGGTTTTTTAGCAAAAAAATCCCAAAGACAGGACCACCAAAAGCCGATCCCGATAAGGTTACCTGGTTGCTCATGGCGGTGGGCTGTTTTAGGGTGTCCAAAGAGACGCCCCCCATTTGGGGCTTAGGGGTGGTCAAGATGTGGTTTTCTTTCTTGGGACCTCACCCGCAAAACCGGGGCCAACGAAAAAAACAGAAACGAGAAAAAAAAGGACATCAAGCCATGTCCCAGTTGGTCTCCAGTCCTACGGCAAGCGTGAGTATCCCCAGCATGGTGACGTTCTGGGTCCTGTCGTCCCTCGCCCAATAGGTCTCCTCAGATGAAGGACGCGTCTTGCTTTTTTCAGGGTGCCCTTAAGGGATTGTGGCTTAAAGAGAAACCAAAAGCCCAGCCAGAACACAAGGGTGCGTCTTGCTTTCTCTTTTGGGGCTTGGGGAAACCAAAAGGCAAACCGAAGCCATCTTGGGGCTCCACTACAAAAGTCGCACCCAAAAAGACCCAGTACTCAAACTCCTTCTGCTGCGATTTGGTCATTGCCTATCCCATAAGCGCTAGGGGAAAGAGGCTTCCCACCTCTCTGATAATTCCTGAACAGTCGCCTTGACCCATCTGCATTTTTTGCAACAATCCCATGCCACGCAACAGGTGTCTACCAAACTTGCCACTTGTCCCTGTTGGAAGGGCTTCACGAAGAAACCTGCAAGAAACCCAAAGCCAGTTGATCCCCCCCCCATGTTCTCCCCTCGTTCCAAAAAGGAATGTAGTCTTGCTCTGAGTGCTTCAATGTTGCGCTCTGTGTGTGTGTTTGCGCGCTTCTTTAAGGTGTCTTTTTTTGTGGGGGGGTGGGGGGTGGGGGGATAGGAGGTTAAAGGGAAACCAAAGGGGACTAACTACGCACTTTTCGGGACCCAGTGCTTTGTGAATCATTTCGGTGCACTGCATGGATGGTAGACAAACCAAAATGGCATCCCTCTGATCCGAAAGGGTACTTCTGGACCATTCAACTAGTACTCTGAATGAAACACAGCCCCTGTAAAACACGTGAACGAGCAGCTTTTCCATTTCGGAAGGCAGTTGGGTCCGGGTCCGAAGATTGACATGGAACACGGAAAAGCCACCATTGAGGAGATTCCTTGGGGGCACCCCGGGTCGTCTGGGGTCCGACCATGTGCACCTGGACCCGGCGTGGAGCTCACTTCCGACCAGCGTGGCTTGGCCAAAACAGGCTTGAACCTCTTCTTTGCTGAAATGGTTCAAACTCAAAAAGCAAGTCCAAGCCCGGAAGAGAGCATGCCAAAAAGAAGCCTTCCATTTGCTTGAGCCCTCTGGAAAAAGGATCCAGTAGCGCTAGACTTCCTTTAACACCAACAACGGAACACAAACAATGACAAACAACATATTCAGTTTCAGCAAAGGAACGAAGACACCAACACCAGCATATTTCCAGTAGCGAGATTCCCTTTAAAACCAACAATGAGGAACATATTTTAAAACAAAACAGCCAATGAGAGAAGCCAATGAAAGAAGCCATATGACAATAGATTCCCTTTATTCCATAAATTGAAAGAAGCCACGCGAAACAAGAAAATAATTTGCATCGCGGTGCATTGGCGTGGAAGCAAGAGGTCGTGATCACCATTAAGAGAGACAAGGCCAGCAGAATCTCCTCTGTGAGGTTCCAGTCCTGTGCGGGACACCGGAATCTAAACAAACTGAGGTGATCCCCCATTTTAACGCGCACGCACACTTGCACACCATATGTCGCTAGGACGCTTCCTTTCAACATGCTGAGTGTCTCTCGTAGCAATGGCCTTCGGCCAAGCGTTAGGGAGAAAAGGGATATGTCGACATTGTGTGTTTGCGCTGTTGGCACTTGCCCTCGGAGATTTCCGGCGCCACAATGAACTAGCCTGACAAGTTTGCTCGAGCCAGTGTTTTCCTTGCGCTGATCAGGAACGCGTCAAACAAGATGTGAGCAGAGGCAAAGTCCAAGTCCACAACATCCCGCAAAGTCCACGCCTGCTGCCTGCTGTCCAAGGTCACGTTCAGTTGCAAGCTTCACGGATGCCATAGGTGTCCTTTTAGGAAAATAGATGTCCCTGCTAAATGAAACAATACCAATCTAAGCCAATGCCAGCTATTTCTATCCAAACTAACCGACCAAAAGGACACCCATGGATGCTGCCAACATTGATCATCGCACGTTTGTGAGATCTGCCAATGTCACGCTCTCTCGCGTTCTTGCTCTGAACTAAATGCAGCTGGCGGGTGTGCGTTTGCGACATGTCTAAATTGTCAATTTCAAGGATGCAGACGTCCGAATTCAGAAAGCTCTCAACAGTGGGAGCCATCCCAGATGCCAGGCAAACATCACAGGACTCATGGTGAAGCTGGTCGTTCCCTTGGACTTATTTCAGACTCAAATTGTGTCTCGGGGATCAGCTTCTTGATCCCACTTCAGCCTTTAAGATTTCCGCGATCAACTTGTTGAGATAAGCAGCTCTTGGCACCCGGATGTCCGTGTGCCACTTGCGAACCCGGGCATTCCATCGAAGTCGTTCAAATCAAGGTGTTGCACGCAAGCTTGTAACAACGAGTAGTGAATATGGGGCCCATCTGACGGCAAGGAAACCGTCTCACAAACAGCTTGTATGTTGTTTTTCCAAACACACGCGCCTCTTCTTCTTCTTCTTCTTCTTCTTCTTTCTTTAACCAACCTCCGGCGGAGCGAAAAAATCGGCCGCCGGCCGGTTCCGAACCGGCCCCGCGTGTTTTCTTTTGTTGGCCAGGCCAGACGCGTTTTTCCTCGGATCCCCAATTGAAAGCCCTCGGCCTGGCGTCAAAATGAAGCTATGGGAGGTTTTGCACATCGTTTGCCACATCCCGAGTCGCCGAGTAGACGCGTGGCTCGAGTCGCACTGGACCCAGCTCTTTCAGGCACTGGGTCAAAGGCCACATCTGGCTGATCCTGATTTCTGGCAAGGCGGACAGCTGGCAAGGCACTCACGGAGCCTGGTTGAAGCCACCCTTGGCACATCGAGATGGAGTGCCTCTGGAAAGTGCTGTCAAACACAGTCATTGTGTGTCCAGCCTCTAGCTGTCACAAAGAAAAACCAAGCTGTTCCCGGGCCCGACATTCCTTAGATTCCTGTCCAACTAATTTGTTTGGCTCCGAAGAGGTGTTGATTTTTCGCATTGAACATGATACTTAAAAGGGCAGGGAACTGACCACAAGTACCATGACCCTAAAGTACGCGAGCTTCAACGCTCCTCGCGCGCTTTTGCCTTGCGGCAATTCAAAACAAAGGCCAAACGAGATAAACTCGACCAGGATGTACAGAAACGCTTTGACAACTGTCCGAACTGCTTCACTGCGCACATGTGCCAGGCAATACCTGGCAACATAATATGGATGGCGGGCAGTATCCTGCAAACGAGCCTGAGATTCTGGAGCCCTCTCGGCCACAATCAGCCTCTTGACTTGACGTAGCTCACGGGAATGCTTTGTACCTGGCAATCTTTCTGGGATGCTGCCAGCACCCAAGCACAAATCCCTGCAACGAATGAGCGCGACGCTTGCATGCGCATTTCCGCCTGGACTTACGCCGCGACTTCATTCTCAGAACGGCGCGATGTCCCAGAGACCTTGACACGGAACGCTGCCTGCCAGCATGCTAAAGTCCTGGTTTCCAGAAGCAATCAAGTCATCAGATCTCATTAGACTTGGATCAATACGGAAGAACCAAACCCTGGCCAGCATGCTCATGGGAACGGGACTAGCCTCCATGCCGAAGCAGTGGCTACATTTGCATCGTCTCCTCTCAGATCCTTTGTTTTGTGGAACCCTGAACTGGCGCAGCATCCGCGACGCTGGACCCGGAGTAGTTGTTGTGCAAAGGGTGGCCGGGAAGCGACCAGAAGTCAGGAAGCATCCAATGAGTCAGCCTGAGGACAAGTTCGGACCTGAAGTTGAGCGTCTCCGACGCGTTTTACAGCCGAAGCCCTCTTTTTATGGCCTAGCATTGGAAAACTCTTGCAAGCCGCCAGAGCAGACAGGAAGCTTCTTAAGCCAAGCAAATCGTGACACTCGTGTCGTCAGACTTGGCTCTTTTGCCAAGCTCTGGCCCAGTTCTATAGCAGCCGGAAGCTTCTGGATCGACTTGTAAAGCAGTACCACACTTCTGCCGGCTTAAAATCCAACAGCTGAGCCAGCTGAGAACAAAGGCTCTGCGAGGCCGGCAAAAGCAAGCCATGGCTCACGACGGTGCATCATCCGCAAAATGGCTGCTCACAGCCGAAAGCTCCACATCGCTCGCTCGAGACGGTGCTCAGCTACTGCGCTCTCGCCCTCAAGTGTCCACGCGCACGGACAGTCGTGGCCTTATTGGACCGTCCGCTGGATAGGCCCAAAGATGATGCACTGTGTCGCCGGCGCGGCTGCAAGCGCAGTGTCGGCCAACCCTTTGCAGGCAGCTGGTTCAAGGAAAGACTCAGTTGTGCTGCGGCTGCTAGGTGCGACTGCGACGACACCATCGTGCCCAAGTTTGCACACCTTTTGCGCCCTCTGATGCACCCTCAGGTACCACCAGACCCCTTGGGAGCACTTGCTTTTTAGACACTGCAACTGAAACTTCCTTCCCAATGTCACTTCTCCTTCACGATAGACCCATCGAAACCTGAAGAGAAGGTCTACCATGCTCATGCGCTCATTTTAGGCCTGTCTTAGCTCAAAACCGCCAAGTTGACTTTGTTTATCGACCGCCCGAACCAATTCCAGAATTATTGGCCAGATTTCTTCAGCAAATGTCCATAGCGTTGATTGACAAGCGTCTGGCAAGATGGCGCTTGCTGCCTATGCCGCAATGGACTTTACCCAACAAAATTCAAAACCTCTGCACAGCCGCGGATCAATCCGATGATCCTCTTGCTTGTTCTCGGTCAGCAGGGCAATGTACCTCCACTTCCATACTAAATACTAGGAGTGGAATACGTGGTTGCTGTTGACCCCTCTGCAAAAAGCTTGACTTTTTGTGGGTTAAATGGAAAATCATTGATTTCCCAAAACGTTAAAGTCTAAAGATCCAGCCCAATCAAGAATGCAAGAATAGTGGTCCCTCCTTTGCAGAATCTTGCGTCGAGACAGGTTGCCATAGTCTGAAAGGCGTCTGGCTTTACAGGATCCGAGCCGGGACTTGGTCAAAGCCATGGCCGTCACTTGCGCAGAAAACGTCTTGCGCCAAATGAGAGGCTCACATGAGGGAAACCCCATCGGCTCCTTTGCAGCTTGAGTGGAACAACTTTCACGCGACGTGTGACCTGGGCAGGTCACTCTGCGAGCTTACGCTCCTGTACCTACCAGAGACTTCTCTTAAACGGGGTGAGGCTTCGTTTCTTTCGTTCATTGTACATGAAGGGATCTTACCAACCTGACGTAACCGTGGAATCGGTCCTGGTTTGGGCCACTTTCCGTTCAAGTGGCAGGGTCCCAACGTCAGGTGCCACGTTCTCAAGTGGATGTTTTCCGCTTGCATGCAACAATGCCCTCGCGCAAGGCCATTGACCGCTTCGGCCCGACACTAGTCACTTCAGCTGAACCCAGCGAGGGATTAGGGTGTCACCCACAGCTCCTGCCTAGTTTCCTAGATCCTGGATCCTTCTTGGGGAGAAGGGTGGGGGGGAAACCCCCCAATGTCACTCCTCCAGTCTTCCCACGCAAAACAAAAATGGAACCAGAGATGGAATTCCTGGTTCCCGCCGCCTCCCCCAATTCCATTCTTCAGGGTAGGCATGCGCCGTCGCCACGCCGCGGCAGTTTTGCCATTGAGCTAAAGCTGCGAGCAGCGCCGCTTGCATGCGCCGATGGCCTAGGATTCGCCACTCGACGATTCTGGGTGCTACACCCGGACGTGGATGGCCCATCCACTTGAGGTGATTGCGCCGCGGCCTGCACCTGCCAGACTTTGCTTGGTCTGTCTCTCTTGTCGGCTCCACTTGGCGCTTGCTACTTGGCGGCTGACCATTATGGCTGGCGATTGTCTCTTCCTGAAGCTGCTTTAGCAAGGCTTGGCGCGAGCCTCTTGAGGCACGGTCTCTTACAATCAAAGCGTGCCCTGCCAACGCCCAAAGGCCTGCCGTTAGGCATCATACTAGGCAAACCAAGGCGATGACTGTCGCACTGAGCGGCTACAAATGGCTCGATTCATGGAACTGCTTGGCCGTTCAGCTTCACAGGCGACGTCAAGCCGTCAACGGCCCTTTTTTCAAGATAAATGCACGGTATCTTTGGGACGCGCGGCCGGGCTGCCTGTCAAATCCTTGGGTGAGCTCTTGCCTACCCGATATCGGGGGTCGACGCACAATAGACTGAGGCCTTACAATGCTTTGTCATCGCGGCTCACAAAACGCTCAGTTCACAGCTACACCTGTGCTGACTCAGGCAAGCCAACTTTGCAACCTAGAGTTCACAAAAACTGTCAAATTCATGCGCCTGGCTGCACAAATTAGGAGGAGCTATAGTGGTTCGTATAGGGGCCAATGAAAGTTTCAGTCTGCTGGGTGGTGCTAAAATTCCATCCGTGACACGTCGCACGTTGCAACTCAAGCTGGAACCTTGACTTCATCTGCAAAGGACCAAAGCCCTACCGTGAGTCAGGGCAAAACCAAAGGGGTCTCTTGGATTTCCGACGCATGTTGTGTCGCAGAGCCAAACTGCTGCAATCGCCTACCCTCGGCTTGGAACCAAGCAGAGTCACAGGTTTTACTTATTGCATCGTCACAGAGAACAAGCTTGCGTTCGGACTTTCGGCCCTGCCGGAAAAGTCGGCAATGGGCGTGTGGCACAGAAAAGCGCAACCTGCTCAGAAAAAGTCACCTCTTCAGGCCCATGAGCCAAACGAAACATGCGCTGCGCTTGCCACATCGTTTGCTCTAAGCGCTGTCGCAGTTGGCGGCTACAAATCTCTGATTGATCCATTGAGCTCGACAGCCGACTGGAGCATCACGATTTCAAGATGTCGACGTCCTTACCCCCAAGCAAACGCACAGTATCTTGGAAAAAGGGAGATTGGGCTGCGCTGCCGGCAGCCACATCAGAAATGGGTGAGCTTTATGGGCACCGGGGTCGACCTGCCATAGACTGGGGCCTTACAATACCTAACAAGGCACCCGCATTGTTGCAGCAGGCCATGGTTCGACACGGTCATCGCTGCTCACAAAACGTTCAGTTCACAGCTGTGCCGACTCAGGCGCGCAAATTGCGCAACCCAGCGTTGACAAAAGGTGTTCAGACTCCGCCCTTCGCTGAACACGCAGTGGGCCTGAAATGTCGACACAACTGTGTCAGATTCATGTGCCTGGCTGCGGAGATGTAGTGGTTCGTATTACGTATAGGGGCCAATGCAAATTTCAGTCTGCTTGATACGTCGCACAATGCAACTCAAGCTGCAACCTTGACAACGTCTGCAAAGGACCAAAGCCCTACCGTTAGTCAGGGCAAAAGCAAAGGGGTCTCTTGGATTTCCCATGCATTTTGAGTCGCAAAGCCAAGTTGCTGCAATTGTTCACCCTTTGCTTGGCGCCAAGCACAGTCACAGGCTTTATTTATTGCCTCGTCACAAAGGGAACATTTGGACTTTGGGCCCTGCCGGAAAAGTCGGCATGGGCATGTGGCACAGGAAAGCACAACCTGCTCAGAAAAAGTCACGTAGGACCATGAGCAATGCGAAACATGCGCTGTGCTTGCCACATCGTTTGATCTAAGCACTGTCGCAGTTGGCGGCTACAAATCTTTGATTGATCCGTCGAGCTTGACAGCCGACTGGAGCATCATGAAATCAACATGTCGACGGCCTTAGTTTCAAGCAAGCGCACAGTAGCTGAGAAAACAATATCTCCCACCCAGATCGGGTGCTGCTATAATTGTTCACAGCCTGCTTGGCGCTAAAGAGTCCTGTGCTTTATTTATTCATTTATGGCATCGCCGCACAGCAAACAGGTGGCTATACCCTCTGGAGCCCGGTTTGCTTTGGGGGCAACGCTTGTTCTGCGGGCACGCATCCTACATGCCACGCGGAAATGGGTGGTTCTGCCATGTCTCCGGGCGTGGCCTAGGCCTTTCGGCAAGTTGTCGGCACCGAACCCTGGTGCCTCTGGCAGTCTCTCAATTCGGGTCGAGTAGGCATGTGTCATTGTCAAATGCGGCTTGAAGCTCGTTTTGGCAGGAAGGCTTGGTCATGGCTCATAGTTTGAGCTGAAGCTAACATTTACACCAAGCCGATTTCATACTCAGTACCATCCTTGGAATAGCTCTGGTTCAGAAGCCATGAAAGCAGCATAACTTCAACACCTCTGTCGTGCTCGGAGGCTGCTGCAATGAGGTTTGGCAGCACCCAGGCAGAATCCGGCCACCTTTGTTTGCATCGCAGGCACGTTCAGTGAGAGCGGTGAGACCAAACCATCTGGCAAGTATTCGCCCCACCAGAATCAGTCTGGAGAGCCGCCGACTGGCAGGTCGGAGGGTGTCAGGCATCTGATGTCTGGATCTTTGACCCGCGTGCGTGAGCTCGAGGGAGGCGCGTCTTCATCCTCGGGGCAGTCTTCAGTGGCCATGGGCCAAAACTTGAATCAACCATGCGCCGGCAACACACGGCGTGTTGGACAGCAGGAATTCTAGCTAGCATTTGTTCCCTTACCTGTTAGCCTTCCGCGAAAAACCGTGGAGGCCAGCATGAACCAATGAGATGCAAAGGAAAAATAGAGTCCCGTCCCGAATCGGGCTTTCCGTACGCACATGCGCTGTTCCTGTGTAAGATACATGTGAGAAAGCAGGCCGGCAATGTAGCGTTGAAACCGTGATAAGGTAGAAGCCAAACAGCCAGCGCAGCTGTTGCATCAGCCATGGGTAGAAGGGCATGGTAGCTGATGGGAAATTATCGTTGACCTGCCCAGTGACAATGGGATTGTATTCTTTTACGGTGGTCAGGCAGGAAGGTGAGTGCGGGGTATGATTCGCGGGTATGATTCGCCGGTATGATTCGGGGCATGATTCGGGGGTATGATTCCGGGGTATGATTCGCTGTAGCAGCAGTAGTAGTACTTGCCGTTGCCGTAGCAGTAGCAGTAGCAGTAGCAATAGCAGTAGCAGTAGCAGTAGTAGTAGTAGTAGCAGTTTTCGTCGTAGTCGTAGTTGCTCTGTAGTGCTGGCAATGCTCATTGCGAGGGAGTTGTAGTAGTCGTCCTAGTAGAAGTGGAAGTAGAAGTAGAAGTAGAGTAGTAGAAGTAGTAGTAGTAGTAGTAGTAGTAGTAGTAGTAGTAGTAGTAGTAGTAGTAGCAGCGGTAGTACCACAAGCAGCAGCGGCTGTAGTGGTGTGGAAGCTTTGGAACAGTCTTGGCACTAGCCTTGGCAAGGGAAGCTCATTGTCCGGATATGATTCGGGTATGATTCGCGCGCATGAGTCGACAAGTTGCAAAACGGAAATGACTAGAAACTCAGAATGATGAATGTAGTAGTAGTAGTAGTAGTAGTAGTAGTAGTAGTAGTAGTAGTAGTAGTAGTAGTAGTAGTAGTAGAAGTAGAAGTAGGGGTGGTAGTAGTAGTAGAAGAAGTAGTAGTAGAAGTAGTAGTTGCAGTAGCAGAAGCAGCAGCGGCTGTATTGTAAAAGTCTTGGCGCCAGCCTTAGCTCATTGTCCAGATAGTCCAGGTAGTGTGCTTGTAGTGCTCGGGGCCTATGCGTTGCACGCCAGCCTCTGCAAAGCCTCGGCAACTGCAAGGGGAGCCTTCGCGCACGCGTATTTGCGTCTTCCTCGCCTACGCGAATGCCCCTACGCAAGCGGCTTGCTTGCTTCTTTGCTACCTCGACCTTTGTAGTTCTGAAGAGTCCTTCATTGCCTGCTTGCGCCTTGTAATGATGTGCGAAATGCACTTTCCCCCAGCTCTGAAATCCAACCTTCCAATGCAAGTGCAGTACTCGGGGTGGACTATCAGCTGCGGGCTGAAACGGGAAGCCTAACATGAGCAGCGGCGCCCGCCCGAAAAGGGACAGATTCACGAAATGCGCCTCGAGCTTACGCGGGAGCCTACGTGGATCCCACGCACAGCCTACGCGGATGGAGGCAGTTCTGTTTTGAAAAACCCGGGCTTTGGGCAAATCCACGATAGAAGCTGGCTAGCACGCAGTGTGAGCTTCCCTGCTTCAACAGCCCAAGCATCCCAAGACATACCAAAAATGCCGTCGTAGGTGTTGGCCCTCTCCTGCAAAATCCACAAGCTTCAAAACACACAAGCCTGAACACCGATCCAAACCACCAATGAGGGTTGCTTGATATTGGCAAGGCCCAACAATACTTGCCGCATGGTTCGCTCCGATGGGAAACACACGACCGAAGCCGCTTTGGCACCCGGCTGCGCGCCGCTCGCCGTTCGGCGCAAGCAGCTTTGCCATGGGAGGGAAGCAGATGTGAATGGTTCCCCCCAAAAGGATGCATGGAGCTCACGTGTGGAAAACATAGATTGGGCTGTTTTAATCTGAAAGCACTCCGAGGAGAAAGCAGTCCAAGCAAGTTTGCAATGACCCCAAAGCCGAAATGAAGGTGGCGCCCCAAGAAAAGGACCTTCGTAGTTTGTGCTCGCTTTGCTCTCGGATCGGTGAGCTGAATTTGAGAGCCGCAGAGACAGAACACTCTCACTCTTCCCAGTTTGCCCCAGTGTGGCAGTACCTCCCCGTATCCATGCATGTAAAGAATGTGCCAGAATAGCAATGAGGGATTCCCACCCTTGTCAGTTGTTTGTCATTTTCAAAAGGACGCCCTTGCTGTCACAGCGGGAGATTGCTCAAAGCTTGAGGGAAACAACCTTTTGCTGGTAAGGCAACCCAATTTACTCTGCTTAAGTTCTTCGGCAAGCCTTTGGTCTGGGTCCTTGGAGACGTACGGCGCCTTCCGCAAAGTGGCAATCAAGGCCGTGAGCAAGATGACACTGATCCATTCCATCTGCATTGCAGGGTTCAACCTCACATCCCATCTTCGGCCCAAAACGCTTTGGGGCTGAGGGGGCAATGATAAGGTGTTTTTCTCTCTGTCATGAGCCAAAGCTCCTTGGAAAAAAAACGTGGACAAATCTGGGATCCAACAGGACACGTCCCCTGAACAAAAATATATCGCCCAGCCTGCCTGGATTAACTGGTTGTTTTTTAGGAAGCTCACGGCAGAAACGCAAGCCTCTGAAACCACCTGTGAGGAACCCCAAAATATGCGGCATTCCATTTCAAGCAAGCGTCACTTCCTGAGTGGATCGGCCCAAAAAAGACCGAGCTTCTGTTTGCCCCTGTAGTCTTCCCCAAAAGGCGCGAGGCCTTGGCACTTGGAGGGAGAACTCCACAGGGCTTGCCGGTGCTCAGGAATGGGAATGGGAAAAAACTTGAGGCTTCCCTTAATGGAAACCATAGGAATGGTTTATAGGGGCACGTGACGGTTGTCTGAAATTCCTTGTTCCGGAAACCGCCATCTTCGCGAGAAAAAAGCTTGCTTTCGCGCACCCCATCGCGGAACTTTCGCGGGGCTGCTTGCAGAACATACGTCACAAAAGAAGTACAAAAAGTACACTTCCGCAGCCCCAGCTCCAAACACGCATCTTTTCAAAACGAAAGTAGTGCACAAAGTAAACTTCCGCAGCCCCGGCTCGAAAGTTAAAACTTCTAAATACGAAAGTAGCACAGAGTAAACTGCCGCGTGCCCCGGCTCAAAAGTCGCAACTTTTCATTCCGCAACAAGTGCACTCCGCAGCCCCAGCTCGAAAGTCGCAACCTGTCAGTTCCAAAGTAGCACGCGAAGCGCGCTTCCGCAGCTCAAGCTCACAAGCCGCGCGGCAGCACACGAGGGGACCCGTTGGCCACCCATCTCCGGAAACTGGCGGGCAGGTCTGTCGACTTTCGCGAAACTTTCGCGGATCTTACGCCAAGCATTCGCGAAAATCCGGCTGGAAAGTCGGACTCAACTTGACCCGTAAACTTCAAAACTCCCAACAGCTGGTTTCTTCTGACTGGGCATCGCTTTTGCAGCGGCGTATTCCCGCGTCGACCCTCAGGCCGCGCTTGTCCCCACCAACTTTATTGTGCGTGCATTCTGCGCGCGCTGCCGGCACATATACATGGTTCATAACTGCAGCTTCCTGTTAGGAAGCCACCCTTGCACAAAACTTTCGCGAACCAAACAAATAACTGTCGCGACCCCCTTCGCGGAACTTTCGCGGAGCTTAATTGCTAAGACCAAAAGGTCTTCCCCTTCATAGCTCGATGCAAGGACCTTTCGGACGACTCTCATGTCTCATTCCCTGCCTATCGCACCAGCAAGAAAACTCTTTTCTAACAAAATGTTTCTCTCGCCGAGGCAAGAAGCGTGGAGGGATACACGGCGGTGGTGAACATGATCAGCATCTTCCGCGCCAGAACGGAGACCTGCCAAGACTCAATCGCTGAACCCATGGTGTCTTTCTTGTATCTTACTTGCTTTGGGCGGGCTGATTTGCCATAAAGCCAGAACTAACGGTTACTTAACCCATGAACTAGGGGTTCATACTAGGGTGCTTGTGCCCTCGCCTTTTCTTTCGGCAAATTGAGCTCAAGATTCTTAGCTTCTTAAACTTGGACAAGGGCTCATGCACTTGGATGTTCCTCGTTGTAACCATATTCCATTTCCTTAAGCCCCCAAAAGCAACTCATAATTCCAGTGAGAGAATATAGCAATTACGCAAATGGACATGGTTGTAGCTATAGGGTAAGTGGGGTGGGGGTGTCCGTGTCCGCGAAAACTTCCCTGGGGCTACCATTTTACTAAGCCCTAGGGTTGAACCCCCCTTTAAAGGAAAGGTTGAGCCAATTTGGATGACCATCCTGGTGGTTATATTTCCCGCCCCCCATTGTTTTAAATTGTGTTTTTTGAACCCCTAGGGTATGTGGATCTAACATCCAAGAGCTCATGCCTTCTTTTTGATGGTGGACCCACTTCCAAAGGTGCAGCCCATTTCGTGTGCTCTTTGAGTCGTTGAGGCTTCTGCCAGAATTCCGTACATCTCGTCGGCCTTCCGGCCATTTCCCTGGAAGTCTTGGCTCTACTTGTTGTCTTTTCCTCACTTCAAAGATTCGTCGCATGTCCCGAGTGTCACCTAGAAACCACAGGCTGCCGGAAGGCGCGAAAGGCTGAGAATTGAGGTAACAATCAAGCTAGAGGGTGGCCTCAGCCTCAAGGCATCACTTAGCACACTCGGCAAGCTGAGTTTCAGGATCGCTTCAGCAGGCCAAACTTGATCGAATTCAGCATCAGTCACAATCAACACCTTTCAAGCCAGTTATACATCATGTAAAGAGTCAAAGGGGCCGCGACGTCCTCTGGTTCAGGTGAGTTGAACTTTGGAGGCTGATCTGAAATGAGTCCCAAAGCAACTTGATTTGTAACCATATGGGTGTGGGTCCAAAATAGGTACCCAAAATAGAACCCTGGCAAACCTGCGGTCCCCTTGTGGTTTCATTTTCACCCACACCCATGTGAGCTACAATGAAAACTGCGTTTTCCCCAAAGCCGCCGTCAAACAACAACTGCTTTGAAGATACCACTATCCCTTCAATGAAATTTCCACAACGGGACAGGAAACAACTGGCAGAGGCTCCATTGTTTTCTGGCATTCACTCCGCGCAGGGGCATCCTTTGAATGCTATTCTCCGGTAGAACTCTACAAGCAATGCGACAAGATGAGTCACCCATGAAAACAAGGCGTCCATATAACCTGTCAACATAACCAGTCCACACACACACACAAAGCTTCCCACCCAAAAAAAAAAGGCAGGCAAACAGCTCCGCAGACCTTGCGACTGCGACCATTTTCTCTCCCGGTCCTCCCACATGGTGCACTCTTCTGTGTAGGGGCTAATGAGGTAGGAGATACCTCGCCCACCAGAGACTGCTTCTTTTACCTTCTCTTTCTATCTCTCTATCCTTACAAATCCATCTGTGTTCACATTGTCAGGTGCCTTCCAAACATCTACCAAACGGAAATTCGCGTGGCCCGAATCAAGGGCGAAGAGGGGGTCTGTCTTGTTTTGGGGGGGTACCCGTTTTTTAGGGCTTCAAGAGGGAACCCAACAAACTAAACGGAAGTCATTTTGTAGCTGCCCCCGAAAAACAGACAATAGACATGTGGGTTTCCCCGTTGGTTTTCCTTACAAACCAAGAAAACAAACATAGGAAATGCTCCCCCTAGTTGTCCCTATGGTTTTCCTTGCCACCCCAAGTGGGTTCCAATTCCAACAAAAAAGGTTCCTTACTTGGGAATCCCGGATTTCACTTAGGAAATGGTTGTAGAATTTGCAGATGAGTTGCGTTGCTGTCTTCTTACCGGACCTGGGCCTGACCGAGTTTCTTGACTTTGTCCAACCTATTTCCCGACTCTGTTTCCTGACTCTGCCCCTCACCCGGCGGTGACTAGCAAAACTGGACCAAGAGGCCTACACGAGCCGTTGCCCGAGGTTCCAGCTATTGGGGGCAAACATGCCTGGACCGGCAATCTACCCTCAAATCTGGAGTGCCCATTTTGTAAGGGCAGTTCTTAGGATCCAGGCAAGTGAAGGTGGTCACGGTGATTCGGATCAACCATGAAACCCTTATCACAAGTGTGATCAGTCGAAAAACAAAAAACGGGGAGAGAGATTTCTCATTGCTCTGGCGTTGTTTTCGGGGATTCCCTTTGGCCAAGTACAAATGGCAAGATCGAAGGTGCACGTGAACCCCTAAGGCGGCCAATCTTTCCAGGCTCGAACAAGTGACTGGACTTGCGTTGCTTTCTTTGTTTTCCGTGCCCCGAACTACCAAGGTACATGTATGATGTATACCCCCCCCCACTCACCTTCTCCTCCCACAAAGCATAAGGTCCGGATCCGCATTCTGCGACTTCGGCGGTTTCTGAAACGACTTGCCCTCAAAGCGACACCTAGAGATCCGAAGCGAAGCGCGCCTGGGCTGGGGATCAAGCGACGGAGGTGGATCAAAGTCATCCAACTGCCGCAGCCCAGCGTGAAGGCAGTGACTGCCAGCGCCTACGGGAGGGATTCGACCCGCATGGGGCTCGAACAGGAGATGTGTAGCCAAAGGCCCCAGTAGGAGCAGTTTGCCTCCCGACTCACAAATCCTGCAGCACACCTGGGCTGTAAGATCCGTAAAGCTAAATCTAACTGTTTATGGGACAATTGATAGAAACAAACTTAGGTGGCATCCCCAACAGTCACCTGCAAACCGATTTTTTTCTGCTGGAACTTTGGCGCTGGGTCGCTCCGAGCCAGCGAGCCATGTGGGCCTATTACCCAGGCGATGGCCTGAATCAATTTGAGATTGAAATGGGGAACCCCAAACATGGGGCAACGGCTTTGCTTTTGGCTTCAACTTTAAACTCCAAGAAAACATACCCTGCCTCAGAATAAACCCGGTTGGTATCCCCAACCGCCTCGAAACCCCGGAGCCCTTCCTGAAAGCTGCGCCAAGCCAGTCCTTGTCGAGCCTATCGACTCCATGGGCAAGATCATAAGCTGATCCCCTAAAAAAATCCAGTGACGTTGCTTTTGGCTTCAATTTAACTCAAAACAGTTACCCCCGCCCCAAGCAAGTAAAGGGTTCCGAGACACCCCTTGCTTTCCAAGAACTCCAAACACTATTTCAGCCTCCCTCTCTCCCACCCCTCCCCCCAACCACCCCCCCACCCCCCCCACCCCCCACCCGCCACCCCAAAAGCCGAAGGGCCAGCGCCACAGGCCGCGAGACGCTCGCGTCTTCCCCGAAGCCGCAGTGCAGGGCGCCGCCCTTTTTCTCCATCTCCAGACGGTAGCACACCAAGTGCCTGCAGGAAACCCAGGGCCATCTCCAAAAGAACCAAAGACCAAAAAAACACATGCAAAAAGCTTGCTGATGCGGTAGGTAGGGAACCAGGGGTCTAGCGTAAAAACGGGAAAAATTGTTTGGCTTCGCATCTCCGTGCAAAATGCTTGCCATTCTTGCTGGTGCGATACTGAGGGACCGAGGGAACCAATGTAAAGACGGAGGAACATTCTTTGGCGGCTTCGAACTTCGACAAAGTAGACACACACGGGACCCCCAGTGGGTGTTTGCCTCACATGGGTGGAGCTTTCTTTGGTACTTTAACTTGTTGGTGCCACAAAATAAAGTTAACTACCAGTTGGAGTGTTTGTCACGGTCATTCCATTTCCCTGCTGAGCACAAGCAATAAAAGTGGATTCGTTTCCAAGGGCCGCCTTCACTTGGCAGGGGTTTTCTCCCTGTTGTAGGATTCGTTTCTGCCATTCGCCTTCGCTTTACATGGTTTTGGCCCAGTTTTGGCCCCCATTCCACCCGAATGCATGTTGTTGAGGCGGAGTATTTTCGGGATCCCTCATGTCCAGCCTAGGTCAGACTGAAACCACAGGGGAACACTTGGACAGTGTCTTAAGTTGCGCGGAAACTTTTCAATTTCGAATTACTTGCCTACGCCGCCTACGCCAAAAGTGACCACTTCAACCGACGCAAGACCAAGTTGACGAACGCGCCTCAACGCATTCAGGGCTGCTCAAAATTGCAACAGAACGGGCGTAGCGCGCACAATGCACTTTTGCCAGCTCCAGCTGGAAACTGGCAACTTTTCAGTACAGGTGTAGTGCACGAAGAGCGTCGCGTCTTGCCAGCTCCTGCCCGCCGTCGCTCTTGAGCTCATCCAGCATCGGCTCACATTTGCCGTGAGGCCGGGGCCCAGGGGTATCCACTTCATCTGCGCTGGGGCGTCCAGGTGTTGCTGCGCTGGGGTGTCCAGTTATTGCTGTACGGAAACCCTCGCGCCTTGGCTTTCGCCTCGGCGACATTCCTCCCGGCGTACGTAGGAGAGTACATGGCTGCAACTGGAAAAGAGGAAAAAGAAAGTTCAAAAACCTTAGGAAACAGGATGCTCCACTTGATCCCAAATACTAACCAAGTGGAACAGTTGTGGGGAGTTAAGCCAAGTGCACACCTGGCCCAATATCAGGATTGGTGGTGAGGATTTGGATTTGGATTTGCAGCCCTCCACCAACAAGGGGAAAGCTGATAAAAGGAAACCCCTCTGAACCCCCCCAAAAAAAAGCGGACAGCGACGCCTCGCTGGGTCCCCGGGTTCTCCTAAAACCGCCGACCCGTCCCACGTCCCATGGCCGGCCGGCGCCAGCCGGAGCCTTCCGAAGGCGAAGCAAAGGCGCGGCAGGTAGCAGTTCGCGGTGACCACGATGGCCGAGCAAAAGTCCACCGACCTCTGTCGCGTTTCCGTTGGTCGGCGAGGCAACATCCCGAACTGGATGGTAGATCGGAAAAATATGGGGGTCCGTTGGGAACATAGAGGGCTCCATCCCCAAACGGTGATCGAGAACATACTAGTAGGGAAAATGTGGTTTGACCCCAAAACGGTAGTTTGGAAACATGGACGATCGGGAAAGTATGGGGAGTCCGTTGGCAACATAGGGAACATGATTGGGAAGATGTGGTTCGATCCCAAAATGTGCCTTTTTGTGAGAGCAGGACATGTGGTTCCATCCCGAAGCAGTGTTTGGGAACATAGGGAAAATATGGTTCCATCTCAACACGGTGTTTGTGAACAGTACAGTACATGTGACTCCATACCAAAACAGTTTCTGGGAGCATTTCATCCCAAAACGGTGTTTGGGAACAGGGCATTGGCTCCATCCCAAAGCGGTATTTGGGGAACGCGGGCACCTCGTTGATGTCCTTATCGGAGGCAATCCAAGGGACCCGTTCGCAATTTCGAGGCAAGGAGTTGAACATGAACGACAAAGGGGAGGTTAAGCTTTCACAACTAACATGAGTGGATTGGCTCAAACAAGTCATAAAACTGCTTGTTTCCGCAAGGTTCTCCAAAGAGTTTCCAACAAAAACATATGGCTGTGGCTCAAATAAATGTACCAAAATGGAACCTTGGTAAATGTAACCAAAGACTAAAATCTGCGTAACCCTAGCTCTTGAGTTTTGAGCCACACCCAATTCAGAAAGGAACCCCATTCTGACGAATGGCTTCTTGTGAAAAGAGCCCCAAACCACCAAGACCCCGTGGACAAAGGCTGGACGAACGCCTTTTCCAAGCCGAGTCAAAATCGAAAAGAAAAAAAACAAAAACAATAGATCGGTTTCTGTAATGGTCGGGACCCAAACCCTATGTACAGAATTGAATTGGCGAACATATCTAAACCATAGATTACTAAACCCCCCCTTGGACCCCCCCCTTTTCATTTAAGTGCAAAATGCTTATCTGCGTGCCTGGGAGAGGTGCTTGGGGGAATGCACTTCCAGCCCCGCACGCTAGCAACACTCCTTGGGAAAGGCTTGAATCACGCGCATTGCATTTGCAAGCGAGGCGTTTCGATCAGTAAAGGCCAATTGCGACAACATACGAGACAGGCTAGCCTGAAACTCCTTCCTTTGCTAAATAACTCGGGAAAATTGCTCCCCTAAAGCTCGTCTCTTTGCTATTCTCTTTGCCAAATGCTCCCCTACGACTCAAGCCCTCGCCAGTTTTCCTGGGTTTGTCCGAAAATCCGCAGAAAACAGGCCCGGGGGAGCCAAAACAATGAAACAACTCGAGTTTTACGGACCCCCCCCCCCTTTCAAGTAGGGTACTAATAGCGTACTAGTAGCAGCCTATTAGTCAGCTATTAGGGCCCCAATAGACTTACAGACCCCCCCGGATTCAAATAGCTTGCTAATAGGTTGCTAATAGCATTGACCAGCTACCTAGACCAATGCAGTTTGAACAGCTGATTGAACCACTCAGACTGTGCCCAGTGGACTTGTACATTGCTGAAATATTCGGGGATCCAAAACTTGGCGGCTATCCGACGAATTCAGTACCAGCCATCGCGGCATTGCAACAACCTGCCGCCTGTAAAGGCTTCGAGCGTTTGAAGCAGCGTGACAACCCCGCACAATCCTGGAGGAAAATATGGCTGCTATAGCTACCTAATAGCAGCTATTTGTACGCTAAAGCCGGGAAGCTATTAGCAGCTGCTAGTAAGCTATTAGTAAGCTATTAGTAAGCTATTAGTAAGCTATTAGCGCAAAGCCCTGCAAAGACCTCTTAGATGCAATGGGGAGGGGGTATAAGGGGGGGGGGTTTTGTAATCTATGGCTAAAAACCCCATAAATGGCAAGGGGATTGTCCCTATCCTTAATCTACCAGAATCGTTTATTTTTTGCAAGCGGCTTGCCTCATTTTCCAAGCTGCCCAAGTGGTTTCCCAAAGCTTCAGGTTCCAAATTGTGCTTCAACCTCATTTCCCTCCCCAAGTCTTGTGGACAAAAGGCCGTGCCAAGCACAGCAGCAGGCAGATCGCAAGGACCAGGACCAAAATGTCGGCGTTGTACAGCGTCTTGGAAATGCCCACGTAGCCTCAGCCGTTTTTTTGCAGCTTTCGCCGAAACATCCTCTTCAGGGCCTCAAAATGTGCAATCCTTCGCCTGGGGAAAAATGAGAACAGATCTGCAGCGATAGATTCCAACTTTAAAAACCAACAAGAGAACATAGAGAACATATGGGTGTGGCTCAAAATTAAACAGGAGGGGTTACGCAGGTTTTGGTCCATGCTTCCACTTACCAGGGCAACCCATTTTGGGTCCCGGTGTTTTGAGCCACAGCCATATTCATTTCAGCAAATGGTTCAGAAGGGTCGTGCGTTTTGGTTTGAGAACCGCTGGCCAACCTCCGGACCCGGGTCCTTGGCCTTTCCTCGAAATGGGACTGAGTAGCACGATGGTTAACAAGTTTAACTTGTAGGTGAGTGGGAAAATGGTCGAAGATCCGACCCAGAATTCCATTTCGAAGCGGGGAGACCCCGCGCCCGACTTGACCGCCGTGAGAGAGTGAGTGGCTACAAGGGAGAATGAAGGACACTGAAAAGTTGACAAAAGGGGCAAACAGGGCGAGTAAACCCAACCACTCCCAAAAAAGAAAAGAGAAAAAGCCTAAGGAACCGCAGGGCTAAGAATCGTCAACTCTAGCTCACCTCGGTTGCAACCGGACGGTAAACATCGGCCAGTCGCTGTGCGGGACCTTTTCTCGGTGGCGAAATCTGCGAAGCCCTGCTAAAAGTTTAACTTTTAGTGGCTTACTGGAAAACCCATTAGTTGGCAAAAAGTTAAAGTCCTAACAGCCAAGCAAAATGCACCAAAGTTTCTCGGAGCCGGTCCCCTTCCGGCCCTTTCTCTGCGAGCCACAGGGAAACCGCGGCACATTCTGGGGCTCCCCTACTGTGGATGGTTGCGAAATCCATGCACCGCACCACCCAAGAAACCCGTGGAATGATTCGATTCCCCAACGTAAATACCAAACAATGGCTTCAACCCATTGTTTCCAAGTGGTGCGAAATGGAACAACCGTCCATCCACAGTATGTTTCCATCTGGAGCCAAACCTCACCAAATCTGAAAGGAGCAACGCACGGGCCCCCAAAACCACAGGTTGAGGATGTGCCAAAATGGAAGACCAGAGATCTGCAACGTTCCTTCACACCAAGGTGAAAAGGCTCCCTCAACCAACAAACGCACACAAATCGGGGTGTACCCGGGCACAACCACGAGGAGAGGTGTGCCTTTTGCCCTCGAACTACCCTGAAATCCGCTTGACACCTGGCCATGTTGGGGTAATGTCTCCATCTTTGAGGGTAGTAGGGTAAGGATGCTTTGTCTTCATTGAGAAAAAAAAAAACAACGACATAAAATACACAAAAACTGGACACAAACAAAACAATATAATTAATATGCATTAAAACGGCAAACAAACAAAACACATCAACTACATAGAACGAGATAAAACGAGGAAACCAAACAAACACATAAATATAAAACAATGGGGGGAACACATAAAATGCACAATAAAACAACGGGGAAAACAAAGAAAACGACAGAACACGGAGAAACAATAAAAGAAACAAACACAACACACGACAAAGACAAACTCAAAAACACACGGGGGGGGAAACAAAAAACAAAAACAAAAACGACAAAACACAGCACATGACTCGGCAATGTCCTGCCAGGGTGCCCAGCAGGCACTGGACAGACTGCCCTTCACCTGAGAGACTCGGTACATGAGCCACAATCAAAACCCTGTATTGAAATGGTGAACCCAGAACCATATAAAGAATTAAGAAGGCGGCCGCAGCTATTCATGGCCGGGATTGGCTCTACTACCCTTCATCACCCGGGTTTTGATTGTGGCTCACATGAGACGTCAGGAGGACAGTACTTCGCCAAGAGGGCATGGGCAAATGAGTGAATCTCCAGGTTTTTTGTGGGACCATAGAAGTAAATCAGACAAAATGAGTCCTGCACGCTTATTTGGCAAAGCTTTTCACATAGCATATTGGAGCAAGAAATGCCATTATGGTGCTCTGTAAAGAGCTAGACATCCACATGCACCCTCAGTATACAGCAAATATTGAAAAGCCGTCGCTTTGAAGCCCTTAACTAGCCCCAAGCCGGGAACACGATTCAACCAAACACACGCGCACGCGTATAAACGCACGAAGATGAGGGTCATCGAGGCCTTCCAAGCTGTTTCTTCCAAGCTGTTTCTTCCTGCAGACCGAAAACCAACCATCCCCTTCACTGCCTCCAGTTTCCACTAGCCCCATCTGTTGGCCAGCATCCAAGTCACCCAAGTGGTAAAGGGAAACCACCACCAACCCAGCGGCCCAAATGGCCATGGGTCAAAAGCCAAATCCTAACCCCCAGTGACATCCCAATCCAACAAAAAGAAGAGGTTCTAAAATGGGTGGTGCATCTACCCCAAAATGGTACCAATGCAACCCACAGCCAAATCGAGGCAAGCTCATGCCGAGCCGCCGCTGCCAGAGTTGGCGATGTCCACCGGCAAAGAGAGCGCCTCTACCACCGCCTGCGCTGTCCATCCTCCCACTGCGTGCTGTTGGACAAGTTTGCTTTGAACCATGTAAAGAATTGAACAGGCGGATATCCGCACCCATGTATGGCTGGGATTGTCCCTTGCTACCCTGGGTGTTGATTGTGACTGATATACGGTGATTTCCTATGTTGTAGGGTCCCGGTACTCATTTTGGTCCTACTTGTCTATTCAGCTGGCCCTAATTGATTTCAACAATCTTGCCCGCCAAGTCCAGCAGTCAATGTTTTGAACGTCCCATCAGTGTTGCACAGCGACTTGTCAATGGGTAGGTAACACAACAAGAAAGAAATCTTCCCCACTCTACAACGCTGAAAAAAAGGTAGGAAAGACAGACATGTTCTGTTTCGGTGGAAATATGGCTGCCACCCTCGCCATACCAGAACAAGACTAACATCAGACTAAAAAGAATACTGAACCAATACAAATACTAGACCAACAGTCAAAGGAAGTTTAACAAGAACTTCTGTAGTACTGGAACCAGTTGATCTAGCTTGCTCTAAGAGTGCGATTTTTTAAGACTACTTAGATGCACGTGTGCGACGAAGCTGGAACGCTTTGGAGCTCGAGAGCAGAAAGCCTTCCCAATGGAGACGGGTTGGCGGGGCATTCGGTTTATCGCCTCGCACTTTGGGTCGACCAAGCATGAAAAGTGAATGCTCTGCAGACTTTCGATGGGTCGACCATAAACACGAAGAGACAGAGAAAGAGAGAGAGAAAAAGAGAAAGAGGAAGAGAGAGCAAGAGAGAAAGCATGAAACACGGAAAGAACAACACACTTAAGTCAAGACAGAGAAAGAGAGAGGAAACATAGAAAGAGAAAGGGAAAGACAATGAGGAAGAGAAAGCAAAAGAGAGCGGAGAGAGAAAGAGAGAGAGAAGCAGAAGGGGAGAAGAAGCGTTTCCACCCAGCTTCGTGGGACCTTGCTGATAAACCAGGTCCAATCCAAAGCCACCAACGCCCCCTCCCCAAAAAAAAAAAAAACCTTGTGGCAGCCTTTGAAACAGCCGGAAGAGATGTGAACAGGTTCCGCATATAACTCATGGTACGGCCCCGAAAGCACCAACGCACCAACATAAATTCTTCGTTGGAAACCCGCGAGATGGGACTTCAAAGGGCCCCCACGCCAAAGATTTCGGAGATGTGAACATCTTCATCCGCAACCATCGATGACCATTTTTTCTTTGCGATAGCGCACAGTGTCTGTTCGACGCGGCGATTTATTGGGGGGAGGGGGAAGGAAGGAGAAGGCCCCAAAAACAAACAAGTCAGTGTGTCTGCAGAGAGTGCATCTACATCGTTGTTCAACCAGAAACCACCCCCGCCAAACTTCTTAAGAAGCCCGAGTCAAAATGTAGCCAGCCACTTGAAACGGCCCAAAGTGAATGAGATCCTGCACGCCATCCGTCAACATGTGGAAGCTCTGGGAGTTGCTGACGGTGCAAATGACCTCAGCTCGAAGGGAGCAGCTTACAACCCGCTTTTACCCCTTGTGTGTCCCCAGCTGATAGCAACTAGGTCCTCCAGTAGATAGGTTTGAATCAGGGTACCAACTTTTTGCTGTAGTCTACTTTAGTAGGGGAACCCTCCGAACCAAAAAAGTTGGTCAAAGGGTAGCTAGGAGACTTGGGCAATGGGGTCGTTTGCCTAAAGCTCTGGGGTGAAATGGGGGATGCTTTCAGGGAGGGTTCACAAGGAGACTTCCAGAGGCTGCTGAAAATACGGCATAGCTTCATTGTGGCTCCGGGCTCTTCATTGCCCCAACGAAAGAGCCATTGTCCATTTCGAGGTGAGGTTTGAGGGTTCATCTGGTTCAACCTGGTTGTGCTTAAACGCCCCAAAAGGAATACCTCAAAAGAAAGAACAACCCGCAAAAGGCCCGGTGAGAGCTTGCTATAGCTTTGCAAGGCTGCTCCAAAGCCCTTTAGTTCTCAAAGCCTGGATGCTTTCTGCAACAATTGGGCAGCCCATGCTTCAGGCGAGTTTGAGGGGCAATATCCCATGCTTCCAGGAGCAATGTTCCATTCTTGCTTCCTGGGAAGAAAAACGGCCACACTTCTTGTCTTGCTGGTGCTCAGTAGGTCATGTGGGAATGAACCCACATTACCCCCTTAAAGGAAACCACCAGTTGGACGGCTTGTGTGGGTCATTCCAGTTCTCACTCTCGCACCAGCAAGTAAGGTGTGCCACATAAGATGGGCTTCCCAAAAGCAGGGAGTGCTTTTCTGAGGCTCCCGCTGGCACGGAGACCGTGACGTAGGACATCAGCTGGTTGGTGAGGATGGTGCTCTTGTAGCTCTCTTGCCCCGAGAAGATCACGCCTGCAAAATTTTCGTGGATCCATTTGGGTGTGGGTCAGAATTAAACCACCAGGAATTGGACCGCAGGTTTTAGTCCATGTGTCCATTTGCCAGGGTTCCATTTTGGGTACATATTCTTGACCCACAGCCATTTGCCTGCAGGTTGATCCATACTCCACTTTCCTGGCCCAAAAATGAACCATGGGTAACTTGTCCCGTGTGTTTCCCGAATGGTCACTGCATGTAAGGACCTTTTGATCAACCCAGTTACCTGTGGATAGCGAGCAACAACCCCAGGAGGAAATGGGCCACCTGGACACCAGCCACCAGGGTTTCATATGCGAACCGGTTCTTCACGCCCGCTCTGGCCGCCTAAAGGAAAGCCATAAAGGTTTGCTGCTCAGATCTGCTCAAAGTTTAACTGGTGGGTTAAAGGGAAACTACCACTAAACAGCCCAAAAGCCCAAAAAGCTAAGGGGACGGCCGGCCACCAAGTTGAAGTCATGGCAAGTGGTCGCCATGCTTCCCTTTCAGAAGCCGCTGACTGCGTCACACACCGGAAACCTCTCGGATTTTGCTTGTGGCGTACCCCAGCTGCCAACCGGAACGACCAAAGCGGACAAAGCGGACAACGCGGCAACACGCAATGAGGCTTTAGACATGGTGCCCTTCATGTCATACTGTGGATGGTTGCGAAATCCGGGATCCATTTCGCACCACCCAAGAAACCCGTGAAATGATTTGATTACATTCGATTACCCTATAATATACCAACAAACCATGGTTTTCCATGGTGTCAAAACGGTATAGTATTTCGTCCATCCACAGTAAGGAACCCTTCCCATGGACCATGGTGGTCTTAGTTTCTCTAGTGGGCCGATGACCGTCCCTACCAATCAAGCAAACCTGGTCTTTTGACCTTCTTAAGTGGCTTACCTTTTATGAAACCAGCGCGATCCAATAGATCTGAAGTCGGAAAGTCGCGATATGTCTTGTTTTGAGGAGGTACTTTGCTGTTTTTGTGTGGTTTTGAGAGAGAACCAACAAACTTCAACACAGAAGCCCATGTTTCTCCATCCAGAACCCATTCAGAGCCAAACTTCCTCTTCAAGCCGGACAAAGAGATGTCTTATGCCTTGAAAAGGAAGCCACTGGGAAAAATGAGAACACATTTCCAGTAGTGATAGATTCTAACTTAGAAACCAACAAGGGAAAACAGCACATATTCAGTTCAGCAAATGGACGTTCATCTGGGGCGGGTACCCCGGTTGTTTTTTTCTTTGGCTTGGAGAAACCCTTTGGTCTCCGGGTTTAGGGATATCTTCCGCTGTTCAGACGCGAAGGGAAGCCACAAGCCGAAGAAAACCGATGGTTCAACTCGGTCTGTCTTTGAACATCGCACTTCCTTAGTGGATAAAAAAGCTCCCAAACTCTTTGTTTGCTACTGAAATGGTCTTCCCAGAAAGTTTAAAGTCCAGAAACTCAGCGAGTGAGACGTTGCCTTTTTGGGGGATGTTTATATAAAAGAAAACCAACATGAACATGACAACCATCATTTGAATGCCTTTTTTAGGGTTTCTGAAGGAAACCCAACAGGAAAACCATAATTTTAATGCGGGGGCTCCTCTGAAAAGGCACAACGAGGGCATCTTGAATTCTTTCTTTGCCTGGGAGTTGCATGCCCAGCCGTGAACAAAGGCTTATCATTTTTTCCAACAGCTAATGCTGATTCTTTTGTCAACTGATGTTTGCCGAGTTAGGCACACCTCCGAGAGGAATCATACCTGGATCCTGAAACAAAGACAGCAGGTCTGCCTCGAACATGTTTGCAGTTTTTGTTGGATGGCGAAAAGAAAGAGCTTCGGAAACGCCAATGAGCTTCCCTTTGCTGGGGCGAAACATGCATGCCTCTGCAGCCTCCACATTAAGGGGGGGCGACATACAGCTTGCTCACAGAGGAGGACAATTCCCCAGAAAACATAGAGTACCTTTATGAAGTGTCTAGACTTTGCAGTTGTATGGTTGCATATTTCCGTGCTTCCCCTTGCAGCATAAGGGACGAAACAAAGTCTAATGGTACGCTACAAACATGACTACATAGATCTTGCTTTGAGGCACCCCGCCGCCTCATTCTACTAGATCGGTGCCTTACATTCCTCACGCTCCTCAGATCCCTGCTGAAAGTGACTAACTGTTAGTGGGTTAAATGGAAACCAACCACTCAACCAACTAAAGACAAGAGAAGACAACCAAACACCTAAGCAACCGGACGATTCTCGGTTGCTTTCTGCTCCCCTGCTAAAAGTTTTTGCTTTTTTACTTTTTAGTGGTTGAATTGGAACACCCAATTTAGTTGGCAAAAAAATATAGTAAAGTCCGAACATCCCTTGGCGCCATGCACCAAAGGATCCGCTGGGGTTCCCACCCAGGCTCATGAGCGGATGCGCCCTCAAATCGGCGCCCAAAAAACCCTTGGGCCTGAAGCTGAGACCGCGAAGAGCACGGAGTGTTGCAGCACGAAGCGGGCCCACTGCAGGAGCTGAACCGAGCGCTGCTCTGCGCAGAACGTGCAATCCTCGTTTTTTTTCTTTTTCTGGGGGGTTCTGGGGGGGTTCAGTAGGTCCAGATTTGAGAGGTTAGAATAAGTTGGTACCCGATTTGTTTTCTTCGGTGGTCTATTTTAGCAGGGGAACCCTCCCCCAAAGAAGTTGGTAAAAGCCCCAAACTTGCGCAAGTTGCTTGGTTTTTCGAGGGGGAGGTCGCCTTGAAACAGAACCCTAATGGCCAAGAAGATGTGGGCATGGGTCAAAAATAGGTACCCAAAATGAATCCTATGGAGACAAGGATTAACACCTGCAGTCCTCTGGTTGTTTCACTTTGAGACCCATACCCATGTTTAGGCTGAGCTACCCATCTAACTCGGAACCTCCAAATTGGGGGAGGGGTCCTGGAAGACCTTTTCCCTCTGGAAGGGACCCTCTTTTGTGTTCCATGTTGGTTGGTGCTAGGGCAAGTCGTTTTCAGGATCCCTACCCGGGGAAAAGAAAAGCCGCTCAAACAATGGGAAATTGTCCCACAATTGTGGAGTGAGGTTCCCAGTCAACGTCATTCCATAAGGGATCCCAAGCAGTCCCTTCTTGACTTTTCTCTGATAGATGATGGCCCAAATCGAATGATCCAAATTTGGCTTCCTGATTACCCTTTGCTTGCCACCAAAATGGTCCAAACCCAAAAAGTATTGGCAAACAAAAACACATCGAAACTGCTTGTTTACCACTAAAATGGTCCAAACCCAGAAAGTACAAAATCCAGGAACTCAGGTGAGAGATGCGCTGACTCCAATCAAGGAGCGAAGGGGTCGTTCACGGCGCGGCCATGGGTGGAATAGTTGCACTCGGTGCAGCCAAGGCCTTGCAAAAGCAGTGAGTCCGACTGTTCAGGTAACCAACTTGTTGGGCGTGTCTCTTTTTTGGGGGGACCCTTCTGATTTTACTTCAACACCGCAAAAAGAAGTACCCTGCAAAAAAAACTGATGGGTATGGGTCAAGCTTAGTCCACCAGGCGCCCGCAGGCTTTAGTCCTTGTTTCCACTTACCAGGGCAAGCCATTTTGGGAACCGATTTTTGACCCACAGCCAGATCCAGCTGGTGCTTATCGCCTTGAATTCCCAGGCACGTGGTCTTGATCCCAGCGCTGGGGCTCCCCACTGGCAAGCAGTGGACGTGACAAAACTCGATTCTAAGATGGTGTTCCAGCCCAAACCTACCAGGACCAAATGGGGTATGCACACCTTGTTTGTGTTTGTTTGATTGGTTGTGGTATATTGGTTGGGGTAGCTTTGGTTTGGTTTGGTGGAAACCTTGGAAAAACTCAGAAACCAGCGGAACAACTTCTATTGTGCCAACCAGTATGTTTGTGGAAAGCAAAGGAAAGGACGCAGAGCATGAAACCAGATACAACAAGCAACGTGGCGGAAAGCAACAAATGCAGACTTTGCCTCAAAACGTCACCCAAAAAGAAACTCACACAACATGGCAACTCAAAAGCTGATGGTGCCACCCGAGCGGAGAACCTACCGTGGATGGGTCCCATATTACGCCACCTGTTTGGGGTGGTTTTACGGGTGCGAAGCGGAAGTTTGGTCCACAGTTGGGACACCTCTCATTCTAAGGAATGATTCCAATTTCATTCTTTTCAACCATCCTTCTTTTCAAAAACCAGATGTTTCTGGGTTTTTCATGTTGTTGATGGTTTCCTGAAAAGATCCGGATCCCTGGAAAGAATGGGGAGCCCTGGACTGGTTGATTCCGTTTTGCCCCCTTTTCCATCCAAGGGGTTCACAGTTCTGAGGCAATGTTGAAAACACCTCACAATGTGACCACTTTAAGGGTCCGAGTCCGAGCGCGTGTCAGCTATGTACATGATGGTTTCCACTCGTTAGACCTGAAAGCACTGGGCACATGCCACATAGCTCCCTTTTGGCCCATTTCAAGGGAGAGACCGGTTGTGGAACATGGCCATGGGTCAAAAATGCGTACCCAAAATGGAACCATGGTAAATGGAGCCCCGGTCCCCTGATAGATTAATTTTGACCCATACCCACATAACGTGGTGCTAAAGGGTGCCTTCTGATGATCTGGTCAAAAATGGATGCCCTTGGTATCGAAAGTGCCCCAAGCCCTATCCCCAATGAAGGAGCGTGATCGTAGAGGCTAGCTTTTTTGGGGTGGTTGAGCAGGAAAATCGAAATCCATTTTGGGGTCCGCCCCTATTTTGACGATTGGTTTTTGGCTTCCCTCTGGCTTCCGTTTCAACCCACCACCAAAAGGGGTACCACCAGCAAAAAGACACGCTCAAATAACACCAAAAAGTAGTTGGTTTCTGGTTGAAATCTCTTTAGACCAACCCCAAAAGGCCAAAAACAATAATGCCACCAAAGAAAAGAAGCACCCAAATACCCATGACCCGACCGTTCCCTTCTGTGCCTGCATATCCCTCCCTGCACATGGGCGTCCACCCCGAAGAGGTGATGTTGCCACCGGGGCAGGCCATCCTCAGTGACTCAGGTCCCCTGCCATGCTTCAAGGTGACACATGAGTCATACTCAAAATCCGCATTTCCTTCTGCCCTAAGGCTCATGACACCTCCAATGCAGGGCCCCGGGTTTTTAATGAAGAACCCGGACTCCTCAGGGGCCTTTGAAAACAACCCATTTTGGCCCAAAAAGCATCGGGAGCCTTAGGCTGGCCTTATGGTACTAACCTTGAGCTACCCAATTTTTAAACAAATCACCCACATAACATCCCGAGCTGCATGAGGCACCTTTGCGCGAACTCGAAATGGACCCCTCATGCATCCTCAGAAGTCGGAACCATCCCATCCCCTTGGAACCCTACCCCCCCCCCCTCCCCTGACCACCGGAGCCGATCTGGGCGAAAATTCCCATAGCTTTCAGCAGCAGGGGAAAACACACAAACTAAATAGTGCTTCGAAGCGAAACCTCCAAACAGTGAACTCTGAAAACCTCAATCCGTTCACTCGGAAGGACCCGGGACTTGAACGCCCCAGCTTTCACAAAGCCCTCTTTGAAAAATTTGGAGACCAAGACCTTCTGGCCAAACACCCAGACCAACCGTACGGAGGAAACACCCAGACCAACCGTACGGAGGGGGCACAGCAATCAATCAGAAATGTCCGAGTCAGGATCGGACCGCAATGTCCGATGGATTTTGGTGCGGTTGCGCGAGTCTTGGACAGGCCAAGTGCAGACAACACATGCTTCGAGCACCGACCTGCTGACATTTTCTGGAAAATTCAATGCAGCGCATTTCTTGCTGCGTGGTTCTTCGGCTTAGAGATGTCAGCTACCCTTGTTGAAAAGATCGCATCCACCACACAGCCTCACACTAGGGTTGACTTGACATGCTCGGCGTCTTGGGCTGCTGCAGTGCCGGTCAATGTTGCCAGGTTCAAGTAGTTTGGGTCCATGGAACCCCTCTAGAATCACGTCATCTTTTTGACCCGCTGCCTGAGTGGATGAACTTTTGGTGCGCCACTGAAATGGTCTTCCCAACAGCCTAAAGTCCAGGAAACTCCGGGAGTGAGTTGAAAAGAGGGAAAATCCCGTACCCCCAGTGAACACCCAATCCCCACTCAAATAGACTAAAAGTGGGTGGTGCACCTACCCAAAATGGTACCATTGGTTTGACCCACAGCCACCGGCAAAACCGTTTGCTGCCAAGTGTCTGGTTGGGGCAGTGGAGGCTGACTGACACATTGCTCTGATCCACCATATACCCAGGCCTTGCCAAATGCAGGGCCGCCCTCAGATCCCCCACTAAAAGCCTATTTTAGTAGGGGACCCCTCCCAAAAAAAAGGGTGAGAAAGGGCGGTTTACTGGGGGACCTAGGCCAAGTTTCTGGGGAAAACGACCCTTTTCCCCGATTGCGACTTGCTCGAGGACCCCATGGGATTTGGAGAGATCTCAAGACCGCCCCTCACACGAAGAAGCCCTTTTGAAAGACTCGAGACTCGAGAGGGCCTCCAAACACCCCTTTGGCATAGGTGTCCTTTTGGTAAAATAGATGGCCCTGGTAAATGAAATAAAAACAAGTTAAACCAGTGGACCCATCTATTTCTAATCTAACTAACCTAAAAAGGACACCCATGCCCTTTGGGCGAAAAACGGATTTCACCCGAATGCAAAAAGCTTCGAGCTGGACTCCCTTGCGTGTCTGCGCTACGTGGATAGACTGGAGCCGCTCTTGGCGATGGCTCTTGGCGATGGCTCTTGGCGATGGCTCTTGGCGATGGCTCTTGGCGATGGCTCTTGGCGATGGCTCTTGGCGATGGCTCTCGCTTGAACATGCCCATGGGACGGCGAAAAGTAACCGACAGCTGTGCTCTATGCGGTGGCACAAAAAAACGCAGTCCACCTTTGGCACCTTAGTGGACTTGATGCGCCCCATGGAGGCTGGAAGAATTCCTGTTTAAAACCTGACGTGCCCAAAGCGAACCGACCGAAAGTGCCCTGTTCGTTTCCCCTTGTTGGTTCATAGCCATAGCCAAAAGGCTGGCGCTTTGGGTTTTTCAGTCTAAATTGGTGGCTTGGATTGGCCGCACGCCGCGCCTGATTCTGAGGCCGTTCGGCAGGTGCATCGAGCCCTTTGGCGCCTGAGCTGTCCATCAGCAGTCTGAAGCTAAGGCTTGCCGTGAACCCAACAGTTCGCCTCATTTTATATGATGGTTTTATAGGAATCACTCATATAATTGCCTCAAAAAATCTGAGGCTTTATGAGACCAAAAAATCGCCTCATATAATCTGGGCTGTCCTCAGATCCCCGACAAGTGACTAACTTGTAGTGGGTGAAATGCAAATCCAAGCACTGAACACTAAACTCAGTTGTTCAGTGACCCTGGTAAAAAAAGGGAACCCTTTTTTTGGGAAGACCATTTTTAGTGGGGCAGCCACCAAAAAAAAAGGAAAAAGGGCCACTGAACAACTGAGTAAAAGGCTCCAAACAGCTAAGGAACCGAAATGGGAGCCACCAAGATATGATGGCTTTATGGGAATCACTCTGGAACCTAGATGGCTCCTTTGACGCCTCTCCCTCAGGCAATACCACCGGGACCCAAAAGTAACCATTTTTGAATGGTCCCGGGACCCCTCATTCAATGACGGTCTTGAGACTTAAGTGGAACCGGGACCCAAAAGTAATATTGGGAAACCACCCTCATTGATGGCTTTAGGGGTAAACCACCGGGACCGAAAAGCAAGCTTGAGAAATTGCCCGCATTCAACGATGATTGTAAGGGAGACCACCGGGACCCATTCTTTTTGGAGAAATGACCCTCGTGACGGGAACCACTGGAACCCAAATTCATTTTTGAACAAATTACCCTCATTCAAAGAATGTGCTTAGGGGAAAACGGGAACCACTGAGACCCAAACAAACTTTGGCACATTTACCTCAATCAGTGATGTTGTTTCATAAAACCAAAATGAAAAACATGGGAATCAAAAGTAATGTTGAACAAGCATCTCTGCAAGGATGATTTTAACGAGACAATCGTTCTGATGCAATGAAGCCACCGGGACCCACATGTAATTGTGAAGACGTACTGTCATTCAGTGATTGCTTTGAGGGGAACCACCAGGACACAACAAATAATAATTTTGAGCAATTGACCTCATTCAAACAATGGCCTGAGTCTTAAAGGAAACCACCGGGACCCAAGAGAAAATTCAAGAAGCTACCTCATTCAATGATGGCTTTGAGGGGAGCACCCCCAAAAGTAATTTGGAGGAGCCCTCCAAAAGAGGGACCCACACACACAAAACAAAAACAACGATCCTGCAACCAACTTCTGGCCTTTTGGAGGCTGAGCTGCAAACCTTGGTTTGCACTGTTTGGAGTTGACGGTGCATGGACAAAGTTCTCCACTTGCTGCAGTTTAATTGGACCCAGAAACTCGCCAGTGAATGGGGCTTGGGGAATTAAGCATGGCCTCTCTTTGACGACTGGGGCATTTCTGAAAACGTTTGTTTGAATTCGCGCAACACACACACACACACCTCAAAAACACGTGTTTCACCCAAAACGCAAAACCTCAAGCAACTCAACATCCCTGATCCCCCTGTGACAAAAAATATTTCACAGAGGGCCTGAGGGTAGGAAGGCTTTCTGGTCAAATGGAATGGCCTTCACGCACTCGTGGCCGAAGACCGTGGTGTTGGTGATGTGCGGCGCCCCGCGCAGCTGAAAATACCCCATCCTGTCGCACCCCGCTACGCCGATCCCGGGATCGGCTTGGCTTCGGCGGTTTTCCGCGGGTCCAGCTTCAACAGGAGGGACCCCTTGGGCTTTAGTACTTCCATTTGCTTCTTTGCCCTGGAAAAAAAAGAGAACATATGTGCAGTGACAGATTCCCTTTGAAACCAAAAGAGGAAGATAACAGCATCTTCTTAAACAAATGGAAGCCAAACATGGCCAATTCTCAGGGAGGGAAGACCACTCTCCCACGATCCAACCCCAGTCCCGACACTTCAAAGTGTTGAGACATACTTAACTCAATTGCCCCGTGGATTTCCTCCTTTGGGGGAACGTCGGGCATCATGTTTGGTTGGGTTTCACAAAGGGTCGACGCTGGAATCACACCCTGAGCCACCTCAAAGCTGTTCCCTGAGGCTCAAGGATCTCAATTCTCCGATTTACACGACCCTCTTTCAGGGGCTGCGCTGTTTCGTTCTTCCAAATCTTAGGCAAAACACCAAAAAGTCAGCCACATTGAGTCTGACACTTTGTGCGTGCAAAGGGTCGAAATGAGTATAGCATTCTCTCTCTTACTTTCCCTCTCTCTCTCTCTCTCTCGCTCTCTCTCTCTCTCTCTCTGTCTCACTCTCTGTCGCTCGCGCTATCTCTCTCTCTCTCTCTCTCCCTCCCTCCCTCCCTCCCTCCCTCCCTCCCTCCCTGTCGCTCTCTCTCTCGCTCTCTCTCTCTCTCTCTCTCATTCTACTCCCCCTCTCTTGATTGCTGTCGACCGCTCCTCAAGACCTTGTTCACTTGTGGGTCCAACGCGGAAAGCATCCGACAAAGTTTCAACCAAACAGGCGTCAAAGTCCAAAAAACCGGTACCACATAACTTGCCCTCAGCTGCTCAGAACCCTTGGAACGAACCTTTGGGGTGGGGAAGCCACCGAACAGGGAACAAGGATGCCACTGAAGAAATCGCCGTACCGTGGACGAACCCCATTTCGCACCCAAGAAACCATACTTGAACCAATGCTTTGTTGCTAAATTCCCTTGAAAAGTCGAGTCAGAAGCCAGAAAGCCCTCTGAGGTGCTGCGATTTCTGGGAGAAATTGCCAGCCGAAGAAGGCGAACTGGCTTTCCCGGTGTCTCGAAACTCACCAAGTGGCTCACGGAGTTGGGATACAGAGGCGGGGCTTTTTGGACAAAGCAACTCAGATGATTTGTACATGGCTCAAATTGCTCAAACTTGGCTCAAAAACCCCATGGTTAGTCCAATGGTCACCCCATAGGACCTTTTGATCAACCAAGGTACCTGTGGATAGTGAGCAACAAACCTAGGTCCTGCAGATTTGAGAGCTTAGAAGAAGTTGGTACCGTTTCCTTTTTCGGTTTTGTGGAAATTTTCGTAGGGGAACCGAATCTCCCAACCAAAAAAGGAGTGACAAAGGGCACCTGGCTGGGGGACCTAGTTCACTTGCTCTCTTCCTGAGTGGATTCGCCAAACAAAGTCGGAACTGGTTGCTTCCCACTAAAATGGTCCAAACCCAAAAAGTGTACAGTCCTGGAACTCAGCGCGTGAGACTCATACGATGGCAATTGGTTCTTTGGGACCCTGTGAGATGGCCTAGGAAATAGCGAAGCCGACAGTCTACAGCGAAGATTGGGAAGTTGCAATCCACTTTGCTGGAGTTAAGAGGTTACTAAGCACTTTGCTAAGCACAATCCACAGTATGCACCAAGCCAAACCTCACCCAGCAGGTTGGCGGTTTATCCCAACGTTCATAAGCGTTCGAATCCATCCTGCCCGCGGCTTTTGTCCACGAGGCCCGATGGATACTTCTTTCAATGCAATTGCCAGTTGGTGAGTTCCAACGGCCACCCCAGTTGGCGACAAATCTAGGATCCTTCTTTCTAGAAAAACCTCCGGAAACCCAGAGAAAACGGCTGGTTTATGAAAAGAACGATGGTTGAAAAGAATGGGGAATCCACCCCTAGAACAAAGAAACGACCGCTCGCGGGTCCAGAAACAAACGGCCACCCAACCCCTTGCGCAAAAAGCGCTCCGGCAGGGGCGACATTCCGTCTTGAAGTCGTCCACATGGCCTGAGATTTGATTGGTTGTCTTCCATTTGCTTGAGAATATTCTTGTTCTTCCCCGTTGGTTTTGTCAGGGAATCTTTCACTGCTGGAAATAATTGTTTTTTTTCCATGGGGCTTCAACAAATAGAAGCGGCATGGCCTGAACCTTTAGCCGAGTGCATCCCAGTTACCCTCAAAGTAGGTAACCAGCCATTTCCTTTTAGTTCTGCATTTGCAAATTGATCCGCAGGCCTAAGTAACCAGAGTAAGGGCACGAGATATTTGCAAACCACTTTTGTGATGATCATGCTCTCGCATGGGGTGCGTAACTAGTAGCAGGTGGGCAACTAAGTGCGAATCTTATCATTCCGAAGCCAGGTTGATCAGTATTCCTGGCCCCCAAATGACCATGGCAACTTCTTTCCCCTTTGAGTGGGACGTACTGTATCATCTTTTTCGTGGTTTCCCGCGGACCGTTCGATCAACCCAAGGAGGTAACCTTGGGCCAATGGGACCTTCAGCTCGCTGAGGGCCTGCCAAATCCGAATCAAATCCGATCGGTTCGTAAAAACGCTCGGGGACCCGGAGCCTCCATTTGTTTTCTTTTTGCCCCCTGGAACAAAAGAGAAGATATTTTCCAGTGATAGATTCCAACTTTAAAACCAGCAAGGGAAGATATAACATATTCATTTCAGCAAATGGAAGAGAACCATGTCAAGAATCAACCAGGCGGCGAAGGTACCCGGATTCCTTTCTAATCTTCGTCTATCCAAGTTTTGATTGTGGCTGTTGCGCATTGCCTGACCCAGATGCCCAGTGACCTTGGCAAGTAAAACCAGAGAAGGTACGAGTTATTGTTTGGGATATTTGAAGGCAAACCTGAAGGAGACATGGGTGCGGGTGAAAATCAAACCAGGGGACTGCAGGTAGTCCATGTGTCCATTTACCGTTCCCAAAATGGGTACCTAATCTTGACCCACGCAAGACCAGGCCCACAGAAACCCGGCAGGGCTACGGGCGGTCAAAAACTTGCCGGTCAGAAGCCCCCGAGTTCACGACCGCGGAAGTGCTTCCACTTTGGCAGCTTGAAAGAGGTTGGGTTCAATTGGAGCCAGACATGTCCTCACTGTTTGGATTGTATTCTTTGGAGCCCTTAGCCAAGGGTAGCTCGTCCTTGGAATCGTTTAGACACAAACTCTGCTTGGTTGCTTTCCGCTCCCTTGCTAAAAGTCTAAAAACATGGTTGAAATTCGGATCACCCATGAGTTGGCAAAAAGTTAAAGTCCTAAGATCCACGCATAACATTTTGGTGGGTTTAATGGATTACTCAGGAGTTGGCAAAAACTTAAAGTCCTAAGATCTAAACCAAACTGCACAAAGTAGGGCTTCTTGACCCACTAAGGACGATGCTTGGAGACAAGGGCAACTTGTCCTTGATATCGGTTTGTTTTGTTCAGGAGACACAAACTCTAAACTCGGTTGCTTTCCGCTCTGCCAAAAGTTTTCAACTTTTGGTGAGTTAAACTCCGAAAACCATGAGTTGGCAAAAAAGTTCAAGTCCTAAGATCCAAAGCAAAATGTACCAAACTCGAGTCAGATCAGATCCGTGTTTTTCTTCGGCACTTCGACCATCACCGATCCGGTGTCTGTGGATTCTCGCCTTCGAGGCCGTTGTCGCAGCTCACCTCCCCCAATTGCCTGGCTGCGAGAGGGAACTCGAGGCCGCCGCTTTGGCCCAGGAGGGAAACAAAAATACGGAAAACTGGGGTGCGGTGGCGGCCCCTCTTCAAGCTTTTAACTTTTTGTTTGGTCCAAGTCGGAAAACATCCATCCTGCCCGCGGTTTTGGTCCATGATGGGCCGATGGATACTTCTTTCAATGCATCCTCAGATCCCCTGCAAAAAGTTTGGATTTTAGTGGGTTACATTCGGAAACCCAACTAATTACTAAACCCACTTACAGAAACCAAAAAGCAAAGGAACCGGACGATTCGCTGGGCCAATCAACCCCGCTGCAACAAGCTTTTAACTTTTTTCTGGGTCCAACTCGGAAAACATCCGAAAAACACAACAACCAAGAAGTTATTCAGTCCAATGATCCAACCAAACTGGGCTGTCCTGAGATCCCCTGCTAAAAGACTGATTTTTGGTGAATTCAATTCGGAAACCCAACTACTAAACCCACTAACAACAACTAAAAAGCTCAGCCACCGCACGATTCGCCTGGACCCGCCCAGAAGATCAAACCTTCTGCAACAAGCTTTCAACTTTTTCTGGATCCAACTTGGAAAATGCAAGAAAAACACCAACAAAAAGCTGTTCAGTCATAACACACATCCTCTACCAAATCCAGAAAGCTTTTCAGTCATAAAACAAATCCTCTACCTCTACCAAATCGCCATGGAAAAAAAGGGTACCTCACAAGGAGCTCTGTGGGTGTAAACACTTCCCCCGCCTGTGGTGGGCCATAAGCATCACCCCGTTGCTGCCTGACGGATGCGATGGGAAGCGTTTGTTTTGGCAGGGGAAAGAGACATCACAACCATAGGTGTCCTTTTGAGGTTGTGGTCAAAGATAGAAGGCACTGGTTTGGATGGGTTGTATTCCATTTACCAGGGCCACCGTTTTTTGTTCCAAAAGGACACCTATGGACCTATGTTCACAACCCTTGGCGTGGCGGAAAAAGAAAAAGAAAAAGAAAACAACAAACAAAAAAACACTGCGCGGCTTGGGAACCGACCTGACGTCCGGGATGCCGGCCCCTTGAAGGACGAGAAAATCGGGTACGTCGAACGGTTCCATGTGAACAGGCTGGAATGCTTTCCAACCCGTATGGGTTTGCAACACAAGGACGGCTTTGGCAGCCTAAAAATGGACAGGACCCCCCCAAAAAAAAAAAAAAAAAAAAACAAAACAAAACTTGCCAAGAACAGTGAAGGACATGAAGGAAACCGTACGTACGGTGGATGGACAAAGTCCGTGCCGATCGGCACCACTATACTGGCTGATCAATCGCATGCCAACTGGTGCCGATCGCCACGCATTTCTTCCAAAGTGGGAAACTGCACTTCCATTTGCTTTTTCGCCCCTGGAAAACATGATAAACGTATTTCCAGTAGTGATAGATTCCAACTTTAAAACCCACAAGGAAAACTTACAAAACACAAAAAACGCAAATGGAAGTGAGCCTTAGCCTCTCGCTTGTCAAGCTGAACCCCCCAAAATTTCCGGTTGCAAACCCATTAAAAAAAAAGAAAAAACACACTTTAAAATTTTAAAAGACTCCTTTTAAAAACGTTTCCCCCCAAAAGCCGATAAGCAACAAATATTCCTTCAGCAGATTCCAACTTTAAACCAACCAGGGAAAGAACATCTTCATTTGGGTACCGGCCAAACCTAAACCACCTAAAAACCGCACACTTTTACGCATTTTAGTCCATGTGTTCATTTGCTAGGGCACATTTTGGGGTTACCCCAGATTTTTGACCCACCGCCGGTTCAGCCACGTGGCCGCCGGTGAACCGCAGCTTCTCCGCGGTGAAGTTGTAGCTCACCACCTGAGTGACAATCAAAACCTGGTATTCAAATGGTCGACCCAGAACCATGTAAAGAATTGGCTATGGGTCAAAATCCCGTACCCAGTGAACATCCCAATCCCCACTAAAATAGACTAAAATGGGTGGTGCACCTGCCCCCAAAATGGTACCATTGGTTTTGACCCACGGCCAATTAAGAAGGTGGATTCCCGCACCCATGTATGGCTGGGACCGTTCCTTACTGACCTTCACTTACCAGGTTTTGAGTGTGACTCACCTGCGGCGCCGTGGTGTTGACGAAGTCCGCGCTGGGAAGATCCACGGCGAAGGTGGTGATGATGACCTGATTCGGGAACAGCCCATGGGAAGGGGGGGGGTTCAGGTTTCACCCGTGGAAACCACCTGGAAACGATGACCTGGTTGGTCCGCCCATGGTGGGGAGGGGAAAGGCTCGCCGCCAAAGATTTCTGTGCCAGACAGGTTCTCCATGAGGCGCATGTTGTTGAAGCTGGACATGCTTCACTCACTGTCAAGACGCGTGTTTTTGCCATTCAACATGGAAGTGCACAGACCCCTGTAGAAAGACCACTTTCCTCTAACAAAAGGCCTTTTGGCACTTTCATGTTAGTTGGTGGGATGAACTGTCCAAACCCTGGGAATGCACCCACTGGGTATTGACCCCATCTAGGCACATTTCCGGCTAAAACCGTGGGATTTTGAACCATTCTGGGTCATGACAAAAACCCGCAGGGACTGTTGGATGTCTAGTAGCTTATACTGGGCCAACGGTTTATAAGCCACATCCAAGAACCACATACTGGAGCATTTGGGTATGGCTCAGCAAGAAAGAACTAGGGTCATGCAATTAGTATCTGTTTCCGTATACCAAGGTGCCATTTGGGGGATTCCGATTCTTGAGCCACGGCCATTCAATTTTACACGTTGAAGGCCTCATTAATGTACCATGATCAAAGTCACGCATCCCACTGGTTTCCAACTTGGAGAATCCCCAGACACAGTCCAAACAATGACCCCAGCTTGATGTCAACTTCTCCCTAAGTTGTTGGAATTGGTGGTTTGGTGTTTCGGCAGCGGTGTCCAACTTTTTTCGGAGGCTTATAACAGTTGGTCTAGTAAAGCTTCCCACCAATTTCATCGCCATGTCCTTCCGCCATACTTTTCCGAAAATTTCCCAAACTTTTTACTTGATGGCATGTTTTTTCTTCCACATTTTCGTTGATACTCATCCAGCGTACTCATCCAAGAAGGTCCATATTTATGGCTTGCAAGTCGAACATCTTCATTTCGGGGAAAATGAGTGGGCGTAGAAAAAGGGTTCATTTGTGTCTGTCTCTCTCTCTCTCTCTCTCTCTCTTGTTTTGGTTTGTTTCTTTTCCTCCCCCCTTGTTGCTGCGCTTCTGGTTGGGGTGGCTTTAAGTGGAAATACCATGGTATGGGTGCCCCCAGAGCCTTCTGTCGAAGATTTCCACTAGAAACCTGGCGGTTGCATGGCTTGGTCCCACATTGAATCACATGATGCGCCTGTGCTATCCAAACCCATTTGAACTGAACTCTTTGAGCACCTCCCAACATGACTGGCTCGAGGACTTTGCAGTCAGCCTGAAACAAGTCTCTCTTTTTTGATTTACCGCGAGGTGTTTGGGCAGCGCTTTGCTCATGCACCAAAGGCACATACCAAACTCCCTCTTGCTTATGATCCAAGCCCCTGTTGGAGCTGAAGCCATCCAAAACTACCCACAAGAACCTTTCAAAACAGGGTCGATGCGAATGTTCCCTAAGATGTGGGACATCCAGTTTTTGTAAAGCCAAGCCCAAGACAAAACTACTTGAGGATACCTGGACCCTCAACCCCCCCCTTAAATTTGGGGGTATTGCCCATAGTCTGGCGGTGAATTTGCTTCAGGATTGGCGATGAGAGTTTGCGCACGTTTGACGGGCCCGAAAATGAGCGAAATTGAGCCCCAAAAATGTAACTTACATTTTTGACCCCCCCCCCAATCGAGGATTAAGGGGGTGGTGATCTTGGTCCAGGTACCAAGGCGGGCTTTGAAGTTGGGGCTGTGCCACTGTTGAGGCGTCTACTTTGAGACAGCCCCCAGCATTTTCATGGGTGGCGCGTTTTTCTTCGAGGCTCGGTACCGTTTTTGGATGGCTTGAAAGGCACGAAAGGGAAACCAAAAGGAAAGCCGATGCCATTTTGGGGGGGTCTCCTCAAAAACGGCACACCCATAATCAGAGTCGTTGGGATGAGTTATTCTGCACTTCTGCGACTCCAGATTGCAAGTCTCACCCAATCCTGATGGGCAGTACGGGCTGGTGAAAACTGAGGTTTTGAACCCTAGTAACTCTTGATTTGTCAATTGGAAAGCTCAGTTGCCCAAAGGACCCAGAAATAAAAGGTTAACCTTTTGGGGCCATTGACTAAACATGGACCAAAAAGGGGAAACCAAAAGGTCAAAAGGTTAGCTTTGGGCAAGTGAGAAAGGTGTCCCCGAACCTCCAAACCTCTTAGGGGTGAGGTGAAAGTCGATGTCTTCGTTTTGGGGTGGTGAGGGAAATCTGCATGGGGGGGGTCTCTTCAGTGGAAGACCTTCAGAATCAGTATCACGTGAACAGTGCCCCAATCCGATTGACTCTTTGTTCCAACAACATCGTCATACAGGGCTTCATAATATGTTTGAATCCGCTCTTGAGTTGAGATGGCGTCAACAAGTCCTCCAAAACCAGGTAGAAACATCTGCAAAAATGGTGCCGAATCGCTGAATCGAGCTTTGGTTCTAGCAAAGTGTTCCTGCAACGCCTATGAAGCCTGGTTCTCGCACCACTGAAATGGCTCATGTGAACGGTTCTTTTCTGCCGATTCGCGAACATCATTTAACCCCGGGATTCATGTCCACAAACCACTTCGCAGCTAGTTCCCCGCTTGAATTCATAGCAATGTGTGTGTGTCTTCATAGAGGTATCCTTTTTCTTGCAGCTTCAAAGAACAACCAAGCGACTCCCAGCCATGTGGCCATGGGTCAAAAGCCCGTACCCCCAGTGAACATCCCACTCCCAACTAAAATAGGTTCTAAAATCGGTGGTGAATTCACCAATCCCAACCAACATGAAATCAACCACAACGGTTTTGACAACCATGGCCACGTTTTCAGGGGAAAATGGTAGTTTCCTGGGGTAATCCGTATTTTTCCGCTTCGAAGAAAACCATCGACAAAACCCAAGCAACCCCCAGCCGCGGTTTCTTTGAAAAAAATCTCTGCCACGGCACTCCGCCCTCTGGGGAAGTGCAGTTGGCCACCAGAAGGTCCACCGAGCTCTCCAATCTCCTCGCGTGGATCGCTGCGCCTGGCGGCTGAGCGCATCGCTTGGGCTCAAACATACACATCGGCGGCGAAATCTGCGAAGCCCTGCTAGAAGTGTTTAACTAGTGGTTTGATGGAAAAACCATTCGTTGGCAGAAAGTTAAAGTCCTAGCATCCGAGCAAAATGCACCAATGCATCCCTGTCTTTGTGTTGGATGCCCTGCTTGCCTTGGTCTAAAGGGAAACCAATCGAAAACCATCAACTAGGTCCTTCAGTAGAGAGGTTAGAATAAGGGTACCCTTTCTGTAGTCTATTTTAGTAGGGAACCCTCCCCCAAAAAAAGTTGGTAAAAGGGCACTACTGGGGGACCTGGTCAATTTTGGGGTCACTCTCTTGTTTGCGTGTCTGTGGGTGTTGGCGCTTCTTGGGCTTGGCGGCTTGAACTCTGTGGGTCTGTGTCTCTGCGCGTTTGAGACTGCCATGAGCTCGCAGAGACTTCGCAGCTTTGCACTTCCATTGACACGCGCTCAGACCTGCAAACAACCAACACCAAACCAGCCCCCGGTGCCCTGCAAAGAGATCGCCACAAAAATAAGAAACATCTCTGCCATCTCTCCCAGAATATGAAACGAGGCACAGGTTTCCCTGATTTAACCGAGGCATCCCTAGCACGGGACCCTCCGGAGAAAGGGCATTTCATGAGTCGGGGGAAGGGATTGCAACGCGGCCACTGTCCGCGATTCCATGGGTTATTTGACTTTGACACTCTGGGCATCCCGGAAGGCTTCCCTAAGCTCGGCGCAGTTTCTTGATTGGGCAGAGGGGCAAGCTGCGCAGAGGGATCCCGGCTCAGCATCTCAGAGTCTTGGTTTCTCATTTGGATAAAGAGGTCCGTTGCCAAAAGGGCTCCTAGTCTCCTGTTTGGGCAAGGTCCTACTGTGGATGGTTGCGAAACCCAGAAATCGCACCACCATTCGGAAACCCTGGTTTCTGATTCAATTCTCCGACGTAAATGCCAACAAACGTTACTGTTTCAGCCATGGTTTCTTAGGTGGTGCCACCATTCAGAAACCCATGGTTTCTGATGATTCTCCAACGTAAATACCAACCAACGATGGAAAATCCCATGGCTTCTGGTGCAAGAAGAGGATTTCGCAACCCTCCAGCGTAAGAAACTCTTGATTGGGGACTGCGGGCCGCCTGACGGGTTAGATCATGACTGCGAAGAAACTTCTGCGCCACTAGCTCCAAATGTCCCAAACAAACCTGCCCGAGAAAACGGGGCAGGTTTCCGCCTTAGAATGCGGGCGACACTTGAGAAGTATGTCACCTACCATTCTCTCACGTGCTAAAGCAGCCGAAACCACTTGCACTTAGACTGGTCCAAACCCAAAGCGACGGGGAGCGAGCTTCCTCTTAAAGGCAGCCGCCATTGTTCTAGGGGTACCTTCTTCCATTTCCATTCTTTCCACGGATCCGGATCTTTTCAAGAAACCATCAAAAAACGCAGGGACAACGGATCCTTTTTTTTGTTTTTTAAGTTCCATGGTTGAAAAGCATGGAATTGGAATCAACCCCTAGAATGGTCATGTGGTGTTTCGAAATCAGGGTAGCCCCATGGTTTCTCTTCCCTTTAAACCCACCAAAAAGGGGCTTGTAAGGGTTTCCCTTTTTTGCGAGAGGACGGCGCCTGATCGAACATCTCGGGTGGTGCAGTCGACGAAGCTCGCCTCAAGGACTTGGTTTCGCGCCCTAGTTGCAGGGCGCTACCACCCCCAGTACACCCCTCCCCCCCAAAAAATGTAGTTTTGTTCCTTTGGCTGTAGCACCGCATGTAGCCTGCTAGGCAAAGCTACCTGCGTATTAGTGCCTTGAAGGCTTTGTGAGGGGCCCGCCGGTGAATCACAAACTGCCAGCACAAACAGACAAGCGCCCGCAAATCCCAACAACTTGTGTTGGGACCGCGAGCATAATCCTGCAGGCACATTGGCATCATGAGCAGTGACAACGGCTCCCTTCTCTCCACACAAATGTCAGATCCCTAGAAACGACTCACTCGCCAAGTATTTCTACAAATCATCCAAAGAAACACGGCGCAATGGACGTTTTCTATGTCAAGGCGTCCGTGTCGTGGTAACCAAGGGAACCACCCTCTTCCATGTGCTTTTGTTGCCTGGGAAACATGGGAACATATGCCCAGTAGTGAAATCGATTCCAACTTTAACACCAACAGAAAACAAAACATATTAAGCAGATGGAATACTATTTAACCCCTTAAGATGCAACAAAAACAAAAACAAATCTTAAGCAGATGGAACTTTCTTTAACCCAACATGCAACAAAACCGCAAATCTTAAGCAGATGGAATATGCTTTAACCCAAGATGCGGGGGGGGTTGCTTGAGCATCCTACAGGCGAAAGCCCAGGCACGGCCGTCGCAAGCCTCACGTCACCTGGAAGCTCCGAGTTGGCGGCATGGCCAGCCAGGCGTTTCGACCAAAAAGGGAAGGGATGCGAAATACATTTCCTCCCACGATGCAGCTCTTAGGACAGGATCGGATTGGTTCGGATTTGGATTTGAACGGGTCCCTGGCTTACTCAGAAGGCAAATGGGAGCCCACCATTTAAAACCAACAGGGGAACATATGACAAATATTCTTAAGTATTCTTAAGCAAATGGAAGTACATATCCTCCCACGAACAGAAGGCATGGGGTGGCACCTGGAAGATCAATTTCCTCTTGGAACCCCTGCCACGGCGACGTGCGAGGGAGGGAACAGGCTAAGCGCACTTCTGCAGGGATCCTTACATTATACACCTGAACATTGCCTTGTAAATGGTGGTTTCCCTTTATTGGTGGAGAAAGCTATGTCTCAAATGGGCAAAATGTATCTTTTAAGGAGCCCTGCTAAAATCTCGGAAACATGGACCAAACCAAGCCAAAAAGAAAGGCCCTGGACATCTGATGGACGAAGTCCTTCGGTTGAGATGGATGAAGCCTTCTGAGTCGTCGGAAAAAAACACACACATATCTCAACTGGCGTCTCACTGTCCCATCTTATGTCCGCCTATGGAGCATGTCTAGGCAAAGTACTCTTCACCGAGTGGCCAAAAGGGCCGCAGGTCAGGACAAATGTTTATCCCGACCAGCGGGCTCGTTTTGATTTGTGAGTCATTGGTGGAGGTATTCGTGCGAGTGCCTCTGAAAAAATAGGTGCGGGGCTGCCATGCTGATGTCTGAGTCGCCCACGTTCAGTCTTAAAACATGCAATCCCTTCCCCCTAAGAAACGCGGACCCCCCCTAATAATAAATACTCTCATGGGGGACAAAACATTTTCAATGGGGTCCGGTGGGGTCGACCTGATTTCCTCTTCGGTCCTCGTCCAAATGGGCTCCCCCCTTCCCGGACACGAAAAACCTAAAAACCACAATTTTCCGAGCAACGAATTTAAATGAAACCGTTCACGTTTTTTTTTGTTTTGGCGGTTCAGAAGTACAGGGCGTAGTCTAAACTTAGAATTACAATTCAAGAAATACAAAAAAACAACTAGTCAAAGGCAAGTACGCATTTAGAATTTGGTATTGGGTTGGTGCAAGGAGCCCCCTAACAAGGCTGGGGCAGAGATATTGGACAGTTCAGCATTGTTTTGAATTGGGCTATTCTGGCCTCATCATTTTACCATGGTCAAAGTCACCCCCTAAGTGGTGGGTTAAAGGGACACAAACCCCATTTCTGACTTTGATCACCCCCAGAAACCGTCAAAATAATGACCCCTGCTATTCTACAAGTAGTAGGGACCAGCCTGCTTCCGCCGATCTGGAAAAATCGTATTTAATAGGGTTCATTTGGCTGGTCACAAAAAAGGGTCGCCAAAATGCCCTGGTGGAACCAAGGACTCCACACTACCATTTGTTAAAAGAATAGCAGGACTGGGAATGACCACTGTGATACAGAAAGGGTTTCCCAAAGACTACTTTGTCTTACCCCTTAAAACTCCAAGCCCTGGGGAAGTTAATCTTTTACAGACATATAGCCCATGTTACCCAAAAAGCTGAAAAGTTGTGTTTTTCAGAGGAAAGTTGTCCATTTTAACTGGAAAAAATCATGATTCCCTTGTATCACAGGGAGAAAACCCCGAGTCATCCCACGGAAGCCACGAGAAATGGCAACAGTCCCTTGACCACCAGCGGTTGCGAAGCGCAATTGGTGGTGCGGTGTTGTTCGCCTGGAAACCCTGAAGCTAATGGCAAAGCACGGCAAAACAAAAACAAAGACATCTGGCTCAGACTCGTCCATTTGCTGAAAATAACATATGTTCTATTTGTTTCTTCTCATTTTTCCTTTTCCACCCCCCCCCATTCTGAAGAGCCAACCCACCTATCCCCTATTTTTTCCTATTTCCCCTTCCTGGTTCTGAGGGGAATCAATGGAAGGCCCTCCAACATCAACATTGGCCCACGTGAAGGCCCCCAGGCATGGGCCGCGGCCCATGCCTAACCGCACCTGCGGAGAAGATGGCGCCGCCCCACTGCGCGCGGCAGGACTGGAAGCTGGTCTTGCCCCACAGCAGCAACAGATCTGAGTCAGGGAAACCAGAGGGAGTCGATCGGACACTTACCAGTTGGTTATTTTCCGGAGTCTCTGGAAAAGAATGCGGAGGCGTCAATTTGTTTTGCTCAAACATTGTTGAATTAGGAAAATGATAGGAACGGTACCGGCGGCGGGTCTTGCCTTTGCCATTGGCATAAAAAACAACCTGCACTTTAAGCAAGTCCGTACACGAGTGCGTGATGGGGAAAACAAGGCCACCTGGATGACCTGCTGGCGGGTAAGAACGGGCGCATGATGGGAACCGGTGTGGGCCCAGGGATCTGTTCATGTGCTGCCTCCCTGGTTTGGCCCATTCATCACATCCCCAAACCAGCGCACCAGTGACTGCCAAGAGTCAACGACTCATATACTCCATCGTTCCGTGGCCGAAAAATCGTACTTGGTCCACTTTTGCGCCAGAACCGTTGGACACATGAAGGGGTCACGGGGATGGGTCAAAGTAACGTTTACCGCCTTTCCAGCATTTGCCAGGCTCAACAAGACGTCAAGAGGAAGGCAAAATGATCTGGACGGTGACACTAGGCCAAACCCAACCTCATTGAACCCCTTTTGTCGGCGAGAAACTCACCCAAACTTGCAAATGAGTCATAATCAAAACCGGGTATGAAAATGGTCGACCCAGGACCATGTAAAGAATTAAGAAGGCGGCCGCAGCTATTTATGGTTGGGATTTTCCCTTACTAACCTTCATCTACCCGGTTTAGATTGTGGCTCAAATGAGGCTGGAAATCCGCTTTCTATACTACGATGGTTCCGCACCAGATAGCTGGAAGCTATAGGGGTTCTAACTTCAAGTAAGGAAGGGGAAACTGCTGCAGGGCGCTGTTGCGGGGTGCTGCTGCAGGGCAGGGTGCTGGTGGCGTACGGTGCTGCTGCGGGCTTGCCGGCCGCTGCGGCAGCAGAGTCTCAGAGTTGCGCAAGGTGCTGTTGCAGGGTGCTGCTGCAGGGCGTGTTGCTGCTACGGGCATTGCAGGGCGCTGCTGCAGGCCAAGACTCAGAGTTGCGGAGGGTGAGAGGCGGCGCATGAATAAAATTCACCAAAACATCGGCTCTAAGAGGCTGCGCGTTCAGCAAGCACCAAACTTCGGCAAGTGAGTGCCAGTGTCCCAATTGCACAGTGTGTTGCCAAGACTCAGCAGGTTGATGCCACGGTGCTGCAGGGTTGCAGGGTGCTGTTGGTGGCGCATAGTGCTGCTGCAGGCATTGCAGGGCGCTGCTGCCGGTAGACTCAGAGTTGCACAGGGTTCTTCTGCAGGGCTGTTGCAGGGTGCTGCTGCAGGCAAGACTGCCAAGGGGCTCACCCTCCAGGGGCGTGTCTGCCTGGGGGTGCTGCTGCAGGCCGAGACTCAGATTTACGCCTGTGCTGCCACTGCAGGCCAAGACTCAAAATGGCGCGGGGTGCTGTTGCAGGGCGCTGTATTGGAACGTGCATGCTTGAGTTCGTTGGCTGACAGCAGATTCTTGCTATGTGGGGTCTATGCTGGCATGTTTTCTTTGAGGGGCTGGATTGACATGTCTCAATGAAAGCAGACAGCTCCCCCCCTGTAAGAAAGCTTGGGGTGCCCCTAAAGACCCTGGCGCAAATTTAGACACTTGGCCCTTATTTAAACCCGCCTTTCCACCCTTGGGTGAGTAATCCTGTAGAGGCTCCAATATGGCTGTGGCTCAAAAAACCGGTACCAAAATGGAACCCTGGTAAGTGGAAACATGGACCAACACCTGCGGTTTGCCCCTTCTGTTTAATTTTGAGATCCACACCCATATGTACCCAACAACAAAAATCAGCACCAAGGACGGACTCACCAATGGAGCAGAAGCGCTGAAAAGCGCCGGGCGGCTGGGTGTCAGGAGCGTGGCTGTCCTGGTGCCATTGCGCCACTTGGAGATCAAGTCCGTGGCCAGGCGCGCCGTGGTGGCCGACGGCGCCGTCTGGGCCCACGACAAGCGAAGGGGTCATGGCATCAAGGAACCTATCCCAATCCGGGTGTGTTCAATATACCAACATTTGGCCATGATGGTAATGACACATTACTTGTTGTGGTGCAAAAAAAAAGGGAAAACCATCCTCGGCCTTTTGCTCTGGCGTTTCCACGCAGCACACGGCTCGTCATGACCCCTCGCCTACATGTGAGCTGCACCCACTGCAAACTGGAACGCCACCAAGTTTACCAAAAAATGGTTCCGAGTCTGGTCTGAGGGCTATGGTGGCAGCCATGCTGCAAGGCACATAAGTTTCGACCACCCATGCCAAAGTTTAACGTTTTGCAAAAGGCTGCTTGGAAACATTGCAGACTTACTCCAAGGTGGAGCGCAACTCGGATGGCCAAGTCTGCATGTCAAGTGGCCTCGGTGCTTTGGAGATGGAACTTCCTGTCCCTCCGGAACATCTCCTTAACGTAAACTCCACCTCCGGCTCCGAAGGCCTCCCAGGTCCGAAAGACTCACGCAAGAGTCCGAAACCTTCAGCAACATCACGCCTAAGATCAACTTGGTGTGGCCCAAGCGCTCATGTTTAAATAAGCACGCGCCAAGGCTAAGACGAGCAATCTAGAATCTAGTGGCCCCTGCTGTCAAGCCCGGTGAAGCCCCGCCTCAGCATTTCTGACGGTGAGATTGCCACGGCAAATAAAGAGCCGCGCCGCAATGGCGCCTGAGTCAGCGAAACTATGGCACAACACATACATATTACTGTTCAACGGACAACCCGCGCAAATCACACCGCGCAAATCACAGCAACAGCTGTGGAAGTGAGAGGCAGGTTTCGGACAACGAAGAGACAGCCAAGGAGCGCAGAAAGTTACACCACAAGAGAAGCCAACACCACCAACAGTGCACACCTTCAGAAGTACATCACGGTGGAGATTATCGGCACAGAGAAGACCCATACTGGAAGCGAGTCCGTGTTGAGCCACGCACAGCGTTTACATACCAGAGCAGACACGCGACGGGCCAGATATCAAGCAGCTTACACCACCAACACACAGAAGACAACACATGGGTCAGCGCCATGATTGAGAGCGCCGCTGATTGCCCACCATGGTTTGCACTTGCGCATGACAGGACCATAACTGAGAACCCTGACCAACGAACACATCAAGCTTGACGGGTACAGTACGGGTTTGCATGACAATCCACAGTGGACAACAGATTGTCATACCTTTCTACGTTTGTGAAGTTAAGCAGCCAATCCCTTTCAGCTACAAGGCTGGTGGAACAAGGGTTCCAACTAACACTAGAAGACAATCCAAGAATACAACACGGCAATGGATTTCTTGCTTCACGGTTGTCTGGTCATTGGTGTCGAAGTTGCCAGTGTCGCAGTTCCGAAACTCTGCATTGCTTGGCATGTGTCCTGGCTGTCCACATCTGTAGCAAACAATTGTTGCATGTTGTCCTTTCGCTCCTTTACCTCCGTGCTGGTTGTCGGTTGAAAGGTTTTCCTTGTCCAACCAACCGGTTGGTTGGTCTGATTTCCTTTTCCTGCCTTTGCTGCGCTTGCTGTTGCCCTTGCGCTTGCGTTTTTTGCCTTCGCCTTTGTTGTGCCATTTTTGCTCCTATGTCCATTGGTGCTGGTCCTTGGTTGTTGTTGTAACTTGCAAATTGATGATGCTGCGGGGTCTGATCTGTACAAACGTTGCAACGAGTCCTGCTTGCAGCTGTAGAGGTTGCTGGGGCGCTCCATTTGTCTCGTTGAGCAGTATTGCGGTTTTAACAGCGCTTATGTTCGTCAAGCTGCGGCTTGAGTCGCCTTGTCAGGTAACCAATGAGTGGCATGGAGTATCTGAAGTGTAGTCGCCGCCATGTTTCAAGCCCGTTGCCTTGCAGATATCCATCGCATGTGCTCAGCAACATGTAGTGTGTATAGGTTGTTGCTCAGTTGTATCCATCGCCCTGCTACTGCTTGTGAAGGTGCTGCCAGTCGAATATTTCTGACTGGTAGTTGTGAGTGCTCGTCTGTTGCGCGATGCATCTTGTAGTCCAAGGTGTGCTGTCATCTTGCGTTTCCATTCTTCAAACGTGTCGTACTCTCCTGTGAACCGTTGGTGTTGCTATCTTGTACTTGCATGTTCGCTTGTTGCTGTTGCTGTTGTTGCTTTTGGGCGGCAACCCCTTGCGCGGTGTGTGGAAAGGGCGCCAGATCTTCCCAGGTGTTTAACTGCTTTCACTGCTCCCCTGCCATGTTATAATGGGAGCATTGTAACCTGTTTACTTTGTACTGGCAGGCAATGCGCTGCAGTCAAGCCTTGATGTAAACATAGCGTCAGGGATGTGTCAATCACTGGGGAATGGGATGAGCCCGCAAAATGGGGCGCGGATTTCTTCGCCTCACCACTTTGCTAGCTTTCTAGCGGCCAGCCCCGCAAACAACACCCCACTCATTTGCCCACGGAGTATCTCCACTCGGGCTACCAGCCAAAGCTCCATCTGAAATACACAAGCTATAACTGGAGTACGCAAATCATATGTTCTGACTCTGTCAGATTATTCCGGTCGAGTCACCGAACTGTTTGGCCCAACCCCAAAAAGTGACCAAAGTCCAGGAACAGTGAGTTTTCAAAGGAGAAAAAACCCTCCAAAACCTGGAAGTACTTTGGAAGAGTCTGTAGACCCCTTCGGCCTCCGCCACCTCCTGAGAAGGCATTCTCAATAATGAGCTCCTGAGCCGCCCAAAGCCCCGTGCTTGAAGGGCTCGTTGGCATTTACGCATCTGGGGGATAAAAACCTGGGCTGTCCTCAACTATTGGTGGGTGAAATGGAAGAAGAAATACGGATGTTCACGGAGGTGTTTGGTGTTGACTGAAATTAATGCAGGGATTTTGGGAGAATTACGAAATCCACCATTTGCTGGGCAAAGGCCACTTAGCTGCCTGGTATTGAACAGCGTGCCCTTTTGCAAAAACAATGAAATTATCCGGTGGTGAATGGCAACCCATCTATTTCGTGCGGGCGAAGCGTCTGCATGCTCTCCCAGCACGGCGCCCTTCTCGATAGTAAAGGCTCCTCGCAAGAACTCGGAAAGCGCAGTGGGAAATGTCAGTTCCAATTGTAGGTAGGGTTGATCTAAACGTCCTTTACATGGGATGACCATTGCCGAAAACCGTTGATCATTTGGGGGCCGGTCTTCCTGGCCCCCGTGTAAAGCTGACAGAAAGGTGTGGAGGCTTTCAAGTTTTTCTTCGCTCACTTCTGATCGAGCGGATTGGCCAAACAAAGCGCCCAAGCTGTTTGTTTACTACTACAATGGTCTTCCAGAAGCTGCTGAAAATCCAGGAACTTAGGGAGCCTTGACGGGGTTCTTAGAAGGGTTCGTCCAATATAAAAGCGCAAAATATGCAGATTGTTATCTTGTACCATGACGCGTCATGCCATTTGGCGATTCATCTCAAGCTGATTGTTTCAAACAGCGCCACGGAATCAACAGGCGCACTTCCGCGGAATCGGCGAGTCACCCTCTACCGAATTCGAAAATGTCAGATTGACAACTTGCCAGAATTTCGTCGCATGTTCTTGGTAAGGCTGGGCAAATTGAAAACTGCCCCTTTTTGGGCTTCCCTGGTAGAATAGCATCCCACTAAAACTGCCACGTTGGGAGAGATAAGCCCAGACAGCATCCCAAAAAACCCTTCGTGGCAGCTGGGCAGAGACCCCATAGTTTGCATTCGGGAAAAACCTTTCTTAAGGCGTTGGTCAAAAACGATGGGACACCAAAAAGGCAATGTCACTTGCCACAGCCTCCGGCTCTTGCCCACCCATCCCTTGGCCCCCGGATCAGTGCTTGGACCTTGACCCAGCCAAACAGCCCATCTCACAGGGCCAGCCATGGTCATTTCTTGCCCGCTCAGCTCCCTCGGAGATCAAAGGAAGCCTCTAAATCAAATCGCCCCTGGCCAGCGCGCAACGTGTAAACACTAAACGGCGAACCCAGTGGGCCAAACGCGAGAAACCCAATAGGATGGCTTTGGGCCATTGGGTCATCAAAATTTGGGGTTAAACGGTCGGGACCCAGAACCATGTAAAGAATTAGACAGGCGGCGAGGGCAGCCATGTGTGGCTGGGACTATCTCTTAATAACCTCTATCTGCCCAAATCGATTTTGAGGATGTTCATTTGGAGAAAAGCCGCCCCTCCACCAAAATGGGACCACCAATTGGGCATAACTTCCAAAAAACCACGCGAAAGCTCGTTCCTCCAAGGGAATAAACGCCTCTGGACACCACGTCAGAGATGTGAATCTGCCCCGCTTCCAGCAACATCCCTGGGCTCGAGCAAAGTTGTGCGAAGCCTACTGCGTTCAGTGGTAACCCACAAAAGCCGTGGTTATAAGTCTATAAGCGCGGTATATAATCAGGCTTGCTAGCCACTTCCCCTTAAGCAGGGAACCGCCAAAGGACTTGTTTGTTGACATAACTCACCTCAATGATGTCCGAAGATCTAGTTAACATTCACGCCCATTGTTTGGTTGCCAAACTGCTTGGTGGCAAAGATTCTAGGGGTTGATTCCCCATTATTTTCAACCATCGTTCTTTAAAAAAAACAGCTGTTTCCTAGGGTTTCTGGTGGTTTTCTAGAAAGATGCACCCTTAGAAAGATGGCTCCAACCCACCCCTTGCAAAGGGAAACCAAAAGGAGGGTTGTTTAAACTAAATTGCCCTCTGCATGTTTGGGCTGCAACTTACAACCCCCCGCCCCCCACCCCGTATTGGACAATTAGACCCTGGTCCAAACTGGACATCTGGACCCTCAAGCTTCGCTCAGTCTCCTTGCTTTCAGGGCGATTCGTTGCCCGCTGGAAAAAAAAAAAAACAGCAAATACGTCCTGTCGTGACAGATTCCCTCTGAACAAAGGGACGTAAATCAAAACAACTTCAGCAAATGGAAGTTCAGGGTACTTCGCGGGCTGTTATGAAAAAATCCCCGTTTTCAGGCTCTCCCAGCCAGAAACCTGCCCAGGCGCAGGCTGTGGCGATGCCCCCGGCATACTCCGCGCTGGCGTTGGAGATGCTGAGGCCTTTTCGTCTTTTCGACGTCCCGGGGCGGTTGGGGCGTTTGGGGCGTGTGGGGAGAGGCGCGCCCCTTTTCCAACCAAAGAAAAGCCCTACCCCATGCTGACTAAAAGTGTCAGACTTGTTTTAGGGGTATTCCACCAAGAGACAGGAACTGGGGTTCGCCAACCCTCACCACCTCTTTTGGGGGGGATTTGCAGGAAACGCACAGACGACACTGCCGGCGATGCCCCTGGTGGCATTTTTCATACAAGACTTTGGTTTGTTAGGATTGGAACGGGTTCCGAACGGAGCTCGCCCGACAGGGATCCTTACATTATACACCTGAACATTGCCTTGTAAATGGAGGTGTCCCTTTATTTTGCTGGAAAAAGCCATGCTTCAAATTGGCAAAATGTATCTTTTAAGGAGCCCTGCCCGACTTTAGCATATTTAGAAAGCAAAGTGAAAACGAGTCGCCCATCTGCATTCAACGCCACCTTCCACTTTCGATCCAGATGGCAAAGGAAAAGCATATGACCTTTGATAGTTTGAAGAAGATACAATTGACACTAGAAATAATTTTGCTGGCATTCTTTCCTTTTTGAGTTATGTTTATTAAAGTCAAATCAAAAGATTCAACCAATCCTTCTGGGAAAGGACCCCCCCTGCAAAGTCCAATTTGACATAAGACTTCTAATGGGCACCTACTTAAAATCCTGTTTGAAAAGGAAATCAACATCGAATTGCAGTTGAAACTAGAAACTCTGCTTGAATTATGTCCCTATTAATTTATTCCTATGCGAACTATGGTTCAAAGAATGAGCAATCACCATTCGGGAAGGAAATCCCTGTCAAAGACTGAAATATGACTTGCATGCCATTAAAGTCAAATTGGAGTACTCTTTAACAAGGAACCCCTACTTATATTCTAATTGAAGCTAGAATTCCCACCCGGCATTTTTCCCTTGTCTTTCCGTTTATATACAAATATTTAATTAAAGTTCCAAACCAGAGTCTTATCAGAAAACCAAGACCAGCGCTAGCGGACGCACTGGCATTCATCTCGAAGATGACAAATGGTGTGGGTAGGCCGGATTTGGAAGCACCGTGGCTTGAGAGTTTGCAAAACCAATCTCTCAGGCGACACGTACTGGAACCACCATGCCCTCAACAGCAAAACCGGAAAAAAAAAGAAAAACAAAAAAAGCGAGAAATCAAATATTCACACTCGAACAACAAAGACACCACGACAATCGAATATCCAAACTCAAAACCAAAAAAGGAACGCGATAAATTGAATGATCAGACTCAAATCCAACAAACAACTCGAAATCAAATATTGAGAAAAAATAAAAAGTACTCGAGAAATGTCCAAAACAAACCAATAAATCTCTCAGGGGAAGTCTACTGAGTTCGAAAACCAAAAAACAACACGAGACATCAAACATTCTGGCTCAACCTGGTCGATAAATCAAAAAGCAATCTCTCAGCGGGAATGTTCCTGTGGACCTCACCTTTCCCCCTCCAGAGATTGTTTCTTTTGGTTGTCTCAAGTTTTTTGTGTTTTTTTTGTTGCTTCCGCGAGTTGCTTTTTGGTTGTGAGCCTGATTATTTTGTTTGGATTAGGGTTCCAGTTCACTTCCCCTGAGAGTGTTTTTGGCATCGTTTCTGAGTTCTGGAGTTTTTTTTCCCTGAATATTTGATTTATCAAAGTTATTTTGGGCTTTGAGCCTGAATACTTGAGTTCTCGATGCTTTTGGCTTTGAGTTTCAGTACATTTCCCCTGAGAGATGTTTACAAAGCAAAAAGAAAACATAAATAAAATCCCCAAAACAAAGAACAAACAAAGAACAATATGTTGGTTTTTGACTCTGAATTTTTGATTTGTCGAGATTGTTTTTCTTTTTTCTTTTTTTTTTTATTTGAGGTTCCAGTACATGTCCCCTGAGAGTGTTTTGCCGATTTCTTGAGTGTCTGTTGCTTTGCTTCATCACACCCTGAAAAAAACAGGCCTGCGCGAAAACCCGCCGCTCACAACATCCCTTTCTGCACCGTCTCAAATTCGTCTTTAGCTGGTGTCAAACGATGCCTTCCCCAACGTCATCAACTGAGATTCGCCAGCAAACGCCTTGCATTGGGCCATACGGTTCCCTTGCAATTCTTGTCTACAATGCCTAAGGAAATTTATTTTGACCAAGGCACAAATGGTGCTACAGCTCACTTCCTGGGCGGACCGGCCAAAACAAGTCTGAACTTTCGATTTATCTTTTCAAACAATTTAAAGATATTTAAAGTCTAGGAAACAGTAGTGATAGATTCCCTTTAAAACCAACAGGGGAAAATACAAGTCTTAACCAAATGGAGGGATACCAAAGGAGTCGCCCCAAAAGCCATGGAAAACGATCAAGGCCACCGGCTTGTAGTCCTAACCAAATGGAAGCTCAACTTCCCCCACTTGCTTTGGGCTCCCTTGCTTTAGCTTGCAGGCCAGGTGCGGCCGCCCAGCTGTCGCATACGATTGTGGCAGGCGATTGCGCCAGAGTGTGGTGAGTAGGTGTCCTCACGGCCGTGGGGGAAAGGCCTACTAGGTCCTCCAGATTTGAGAGGATAGAATAAGTTGGTACCCAGTTGTTTCGTTTCTCGAAATTTTAGTAGTTTTGAGCCCTCCCCAAAAAAACCTGGTCAAAGGGCACTACTGGGGGACCTAGCCTGTAGTTAGAACCATGGTTTCAACAAGTGTTGCTTGAACAACCTGAGTGGGCTAGCCCAAAAATCCAGGAGGTTTTTGCCACCAAATTGGTCCCTATAGTTATAACCAGGGTTTCAACAAGTGTTGTTTGAACAACCTGAGTGGGCTAGCCCAAAAGTCCAGGAGGGTGTTGCCACCAAGTTGGTCCCAATAGTTGTAACCATGGTTTCAACTGGTGTTGTTTGAACAACCTGAGTGGGCTAGCCCAAAAGTCCAGGAGGCTTTTGCCACCAAATTGGTCCAACCCCAGTGTGAATCAAGCTCAGGAATTCAGGGAGTGAACTGCTTACACACATCTCTTGTGGTTTTCCCGTCGCAGACCACAGGTGAACCCTGCCCAAATATCTAAAAAAAAACACCGCGCTTTGGCGCAAGTTTCTGTGCTAATACCTTCAAAAAACTCCTTTCCCCGGCCCTCTGCATGCTGAATCTCGGATACTCCCCGGTCAACGCGGAACCTGCGAAACCCCGCCAGAGGAACCTCTGAACCGGGGGCAACCCCGTTTTTTTTGGGCAACCCGTCTTACTTTGCAACGGGGGGGGGGGGGAGAAGTCGGCTTTCACACTCTTGGACTCCTGTGTTGTAGGGGTTGGCCCCTCCGTTTCCCAAGTTTGTTTCTCTATGCAACTCGGGGCTCTAACGTTAGCCTCAAAGATGGTTGAAATCGCGACAGAATGAGCTCAATATCCCATGATTTGGGAGAAAACAGTTGCTCACATGAGCCACGCTCATTTGCTCACATCATGACGTAGGTGAGGGCAGAACCCGCTTTTACAACAAAACAAGCAGTATCGCATGAGACACTCTTTGACATTCTATCTTTCTATATGGGTATGGCTCAAAATTAAAGAGCTGGGGTTACGCATGTGTTACTCATGTTTTGATCGTTGGTTCCATTTGCCAAGATGCCATGTACACGTTTTTGAGCCGCAGCCATATAGCCTATTGACCATTCCCACTCCAGCAAATCCTTGTCAAAGGGACGGGAACCCGTTGGACCACGAATCGTTTGGAGCATTCCAAAAGACTCCCCTTTGCAGAAAAGCCTCGGGACATGTCAAATGGCTGTGGCTCAAAAAACCGGAATTCCAAAATGGAACCCTGGCAAGTGGACACATGGACCAAATGCTGCGGTTGGCCCCTCCAGTTTAACTTTGAGCCACAGCCAAATCAACTACTCGATTCCCTGACTCCAACCCTCCCCCCCCCTGGATGCTGTGACCGTTGTGTTGGGTTGCTATTCCCCTAACGGTTTCCCTGGGTTGCGAAAGGAATCTTGCCCAACATGCTGGGGCGATGTCACTATAGTGTGAGGGTCCAGGTGCTCCCAAAATGGGTATATAAGCTTTCTTCATGATGCACTTCTCGCCATGTAAACCAAGCACGCCTCCGAAACTGCGGTTTTCGCCTTGGTTTTCCTTTGAACCAACCTTACAAAGGCAGCCCTGAACGAAAAGACACACACACTGGATTGCTGGACTGGATTGGATGGAAGTGAGGGTTATTTGAACTGCGTGGACTTGTCGCGGAAGTAGCGCCAATGCCTGGACACACTTGTGAAATCCCCCCTCTCTCGGTCCTTGTTGTGTCTCATTTCTTCTACGAGGGTCAGGATCAAGCCCAGTGGGCACACTCTAGGTTCGGATCATGCACTTTAATTGTACCTCAAGTGGAGTTTCGTCATCCTTGGGCCCTACTCGTCAGGGCCACAGACTAGGCCCAAGGATGGCTGTGGCCTACTCCACGGATATAAAAAAGGAAAAACGGAGGTTCCGGGCCGCTGGCACTACCGTTCTTGGCAGTTCGCAAAGGCTTCCGGCTTGCTTTTTTTTTGAAATCTCAAGTCCCACGGGTTTAGGGAGGGGAAGAAAAAACGAGAATTCGGACTGCTGGCGCTACCGAGCTCGGCAGTTTGCAAATCCTTCTGGCTTGCATTTTGAGCTTCGAATTACACGCCGCCCTTAGTAAACAGGATTGGACACACACAAACAGCCGTACGGCACTTAAATTATCAGAAAATTACATAGTGGCCCAAAGATTCCAGAGCGCGTGGCACTGTGAGGCGCCTCTTCCGGAAACTGTCGACGCCAAGCTGGTCAGCACATGCACCAAGCACTCGTTTCAGGAAAAAGGTTGTGGGTTGGAAACTTGCGCAACGTACAACGGCATTGAGCTGCAACATTTTAACGAAAAGTACAGAGAATGCTACTTCGGGGGCCGAAGTAGGGACCCGAACATGAAGAATTGGCAAAGAAGCGGTGTCCGATTGCCAAAAATTACAACAGGGACCATGCTGGTACCGCAGCTTTGTGGCAAGATTACTGCAAAGGTCGGAGTGATTCGAGAAAAATTGCAGGTCTGACGGATCTTTTGACATGCTCCAGTGAAACCCATTCTGGCACGCACATGTTGCAGCAGAGGGCTCGCCTCCAAAACCGCTGGCTGTCGCATCTTTGACAATGGAAGCAAGGAAAACGAGGAAACAGTACCCCGGGGAAAACCTAAAAACATTAAAACATGGGTCCAGAAAAACCATCAGAAACTGTCATATCAAGCTGCTATTGCGCCGACACCTCGCAAACTGAGAATATTACAGAGATCGTGAGCGATCAGCAACTGTGACGGTCATCAAAAACGGCGCAAGACTGTGGCACGCGTGCATGCGCCCACCCTTGCACTCGAGTCACTTGTTGGGCCCAAAAAGCATGTTGACACTTTAGGACGCAAGACCCAAAGTCCGGAAACACATTGAATGCCCATGAGTTCAGCTGTAGCTGGGCCGGGATTCCAAAGCCGAAACTGAACTGGTGCAAAAACCCAAGCTAAGACATCAGGAAGGAAAAAAAAAAAAAAAACAAAGGCAACCAAGGAAGAAGACCTTAAGGAAAAAGGAAAGAGGGAATTCCGCCAACCCCCTCGGGCGTCTTGGGAAGCATCCTAGGAAGCGCTGCACACTGGCCCTCGCGGCCGTGGGGTGTGCGTGCTCTAGCTCCCCGCAGGCATGCACTCTTCACTACACAAACATTTGCAATATGTTTGTGTGTTTCACTGCCGACATCCCCGCAACTGTGGTGCCCCAATTTTTATTGGCTCGAAATGACCCTCGGATGGGGCCGCGTTTGATGCTGAAACTTCACGTGACGCCGGCATCACGTCTAGGCATGCTGGAAAGTGACAACTCGCATCCAAGCTGGGCAACTTCACACGACTTCAGCTGATGGCGCGTGTGTCAAGATTGTGTCTCTGATAGGCGTTACAAGAAGCCGCATCTTTTGGCCTCCAACGACCTTGGTCAGCCCCTTCGGAATTTGGGGAAGACATGGCACCGAAAAGCAACAAAGGTTCTCGCCGTCCCCAACCGTAAAGGAAACGGCAGAAAGTGCAACTCTAGCTGGCATCCACAACAGTGCTTCTGGCCAACCCCTCGTGAAAAGGACGCGGGCTTCGCAACATGAATTCAAGGTCCAGGGCGGCATATATGGCAGACTACACCTGACTCCGGAGCTGCCTAACAGGGTCCAAATGGCCTGATGGGCCCCATCTGCCCCATGTATCATCGGCAATGGCAGGCGCGCGGGGTTCGTCTCCTTTAAAGTTGCTGTCACGGGACGAACTGGCAACAGCAATGAAATCGATCCGCGCAGCAGCTTCTCGCACTGCCCACCGACCGGCCGGGGAACGTATCAACGGAATCATGCGTGTGAGGTTGTTTTCATGGCAAGTGTCTGCACCCGGAGCTCTGTGGTGCTGTGTGTCCATGCACCCCATGAGCAGAATGTCATCGACATTCTTTGGAGAGTGCCGGGCTCCTGCTATCCAGTGCTGCCAATCAGCCCCGCGGGGCTTCTTATCACAACCTCGAGCAAAAAAGGAGAAACTATATTCCCCCTTGCTGGGGTTCAAACCTACTTGGTCTGTGGCTGAGCGTAGGATTTTACCCACAGCAAGAACCCCAAGGAGGCCTCGCGTGTCTGTAGCATGTAGCCAAGTATATGGCCAGCTACCTGTGCCCGGATCTGGGCCTGGAAAGTTGGCCGCCGTGAAAAGCCAAATGTTGCTATTGTGTTCTGCGTTGGCCCAGCACATGGCCTTGTCAGAAAAAACGAGTGAGACTGGGTGCCCAACAGTTGCGAGGGCGCGAGCGAGCTTGTCCAAACTAGCCTGCGCAATTGGTACCGACGGGCCGTCTGGGCCGAAAAGGGCGACCAGTTCTTGTCGCACCTTGAACACTTGGGCGGGAGTGATCTCGTGCCACCTTCGCATTAAATGAGCTTGGAAGGCTTTGCGGCTCTGAAGCTCATGCAACTCTTCGAACTTCGGAACGATGAGGTGCTGCAGACGGGAAGAACGAATTTGGTGCACCAAAAGTCGGTAGGCCGTCAAGGCATCCAGCGGCTCCTTAAAAATTGCCGCTGCGTCTATGCTGGAAATCAGACGCGTAAGCTCTTGAAGCGGCATATGGCGAGCCTGTTCAAATTCCACGACTTCCGGGGCTTGATCCCGAGAGTGGGCTTGAGCTTGAATCAACGCTTCCAGGCGTTGGTCCGCAGTGCCCGATGAGATTGGGCGCTCCGCGCCCGTCGAGCCACTAGGGATGGCTGGCGCGGACTTGCCAGGGGTCCATGGTCTCGGCGCCATGTCAGTCGTACCCAGCTGTTCAATCAGCTGCTTGTGAATATCAAGCAAAACTGACGCAACCGGTCGGGGAGGTCCACACGACTTAGCGCTTGTAGCCGGCGCTGACACGTGCGTTGGCTGCGGGGTTTGCGCAAAGCGACTAAACATTTGCGGCGCAGGAGCTTGCTGCAC